GGAACTATTTCTGTGCGATCAACCGTGACTAAGAAATGTTGGAACTTTAAAGACTTCGTTCTGTGAGAATACACTTTGGGAGGAGTTTGGTGGTCACCACTTGCATAGGTGGTCACCACTTGAGTAAGTGGTCACCACTTGAGTTAGGTGGTCACCACTTGCATAGGTGGTCATCACTTGCATAGGTGGTCATCACTTGCATAGGTGTTCACCACTTGAGTTAGGTGGTCACCACTTGAGTTAGGTGGTCACCACTTGCATAGGTGGTCACCACTTGCATAGGTGTTCACCACTTGAGTTAGGTGGTCACCACTTGCCTTAGGTGGTCACCACTTGCATAGGTGGTCACCACTTGCATAGGTGGTCACCACTTGAATTAGGTGGTCACCACTTGAATTAGGTGGTCACCACTTGAGTTAGTGGTCACCATTAACCCTAACCCTAACCACTTGCGTTAAAGGGTCACCACTTGCATAGGTGGTCACCACTTGAGTTAGTGGTCACCACTTGCATAGGTGGTCACCACTTGCGTTAGGTGGTCACCGCTTGCATAGGTGGTCACCACTTGCATAGGTGGTCACCACTTGCGTTAGGTGGTCACCGCTTGCATAGGTGGTCACCGCTTGCATAGGTCGTCACCACTTGCATAGGTGGTCACCACTTGAGTTACAAGGTGACCAGTTTAGTCAGCTGATTACAGCTTTAGTCAATTACGAGATCACTACTTTCCTCAGTCACGAATTCAGTCAAGTAGTCTACAGTCATGTATCACGATATCAGTCATGTGATCACCCAGGCAGTCACGTCACCTATGTAATTAGTCACCGGGTCAACTGTATAGCTTATGTGGTCACCTATCTGGTCAGCTGGTCACCACTTCAACAAAGAGGTCACCACTTCAACAAAGAGGTCACCACTTCAATTAAAACATCACCAGGCCACGTATCTAGACAAGTAATTTCGGTAATGTTCGGGCAAAGTTTGCGTTATGTTATAGTTCACGGTTACAGCCTGCTTGATAGTTACGGCCTGCTTGAGTTACGGCCTGATGGAGTGTTATAGCGTGAAATAGGTTTAAGGTTGGACGTGTGTTTTTGAACACTACTAAGTTGTGTTTTTTTTTTTTTTTGCTTTTAAATTTCTTTTTTGTTACGTTTTGATAATCGGATTATTTTTTTTTAAATAAGTAAACAAAGAAATGCTTAACAAATTCTCCAAAACATATAAAAATGAAAAGCATGTTTTATTAAACATAATTTAATTTTTATCATTTTAATTAAGCAGGTGAAAAAAAAAATAATGCCATATTGCATTCAATTATTCTCTGTTATTTCTTACACAGCTTCTACAAGTTCTCATAGAATAATCGCAGTGTTGATCTAAACGTATTACATAACTAGCTAAAAGGTCAGCAAGACTGTTGATACGACGGCTTTTACTTTCGTTATCAGAGGGAGATATTAACTTGCACTAAAAACATTGATTTGTTAAGGTTACATATATTTTTAAGCGTGATAGGCCGGTTGACCAAGTAGAACTTTGATTACGTAATCCAGCATACAGATAAAAACTACTCCCACCCGTCACACTTTAAAAAAAAACAGTCATAAAAAGGGCGTGAAGTGAAAGTCCTATTGAGATCAAGTGATCCACTGAGCAGGTAAAGCAGAGTTCATGTTTCTTCACATCGGGACGGTGTGGTCATCAATATGCCAAGCCGCCTTTACTTTCAGGGACGACCTAGAGACTCAAATCCGAACCGGATAAGAACTCGAGACATTCAGGCTAGCAGCAAAAGGCTCTACCATTCGATCATGCCGTTCCATTAAAAGAAAAAATGCCAAGTGCCATATGTAATTGTAGATATATATATATATATATATATATATATATATATATATTTCTATAAAGCTATATATATATATATATATATATATATATACAGATTTATAGGTCGATAAAGAGATAGACGTTATAGCAATGTGGCGACGCCGCTGCACACACGAGACAACGTGAACTTGACCTTGTCCGTGGACAGTTACATAAATTGAACTTGATCTAAAAATTCTTTGACCGGCATCATGACAAATCGTCTTGATGGTCGCGATGGTTTGGTCGTATCTCACCTGTCCGCGTGCTAATCACCTGGGACTGATTAGGCTCACGCTGCTAGGGTTAGCTCCCTTAGTACTAGTTTTTTCTAACAGTGTGGGCTTGTTCGTTCTGGCTGTCTGCTGTTTGAACTATCAACGCCGCCTGTCCAAGACCAAGGCCAATGTCAGCCACGTTTGCTTGACGTCTGCTGGTAAAATAAAAACACCTGTAGCGGATTGGCGGGCTCGATTTACCTGGCACGTATTTGTCTTCAGTAAAGTTGTACATGTTAAGTTGTACATAGTTGTAAAGTTGTATATGGTTGTCAAGTTGTACACAGTTGTAAAGTTGTACTTAGTTGTAAAGCTGTACATAGTTGTAAGTTGTACTTAGTTGTAAAGCTGTACATAGTTGTAAGTTGTACTTAGTTGTAAAGCTGTACATAGTTGTAAGTTGTACTTAGTTGTAAAGCTGTACATAATTGTAAGTTGTACTTAGTTGTAAAGCTGTACATAGTTTTAAGTTGTACTTAGTTGCAGTGGCGTAGCGAGGGGGGGAGAGCGGGGGTGCGGGGGTGCGGACCGCACCGGGTGACGCCATTTAGGGGGGTGACACCAAGGCAAAAAATAGCAAAATATATAGAGAAAAATGATAATTCCACTTAATTAAGTGATTACTTCGAGTGTTAAACAGTCTTGTAAGAGCAAATTTGACAAATCCCGACAAGGGTGGAGGGGGGGGGGGGGTTGCAAATCGAAAGTTTGAGGGGGGGGGGGTGCAAATCGAAAATTGAAAGTTTGTCCCTGGGCGCCGGGAAGGGTCGCTACGCATCTGGGGGGTGACACCATTAAGTGCCGCCGCACCGGGTGATACCGCGCCTCTGCTTAGTTGTTAAGTTGTACTTTAGAGTTTGCATGAGTTAAAACTCTCCAAGTGTAGCCTACAAAGATTATTTTGGAAATAGTTGTCAAACAATTAAAAATCATCTTTGTAGTTCTCTAGGATACCCCACGTATACATTGATTTGGTTTTTTACAAACAATGATATGATTAATGATTAAGTTGTATTTTCATATACAATAATGATTAACAGGTTTTTAAACATACATCATAAGATTAATGATTAAGTTGTGTTCCCACGAAAGGTTATATGATTAGAGAATAAGGTGTCGTAACGTATACATGATAAGATAAAGTTGTGTTTACAAAATATCAGATAAGATGATTTATTCAATTGCCTTTAAAATTGGCCTGAAGTTTTTAAAAATTGTATTATAGTGTGGGTCCGCGTGTGTGTGAGTGAGTTTGTGTTTATGTGTGTGTGTATGTGTGTGCGCGCGCGTGTGTGTGTGTGATGTGTGCGTGTGGATGTGTGTCTTTGCATGCTGTTAAGATTTCACACGGAATAAACCGACATTTCATTTCATCGAGTCAGAAATACTTTATTTTAGATTTTTTTTTTCGACATTGCAACATTAAACTATTCCTATCGTTCAAATCCGAACTACGATCCTTTGAGTTGAGGATTCGGTTCATGTTCTTGTTATCGTCTGTGTTCGCTTATTACAGTCTAGACCAGGGAATGACATTCCTCTATCCTACTGACCCAGATACCTAATTACTTTTGCCTTACTTTGACATCTTACAGACAGAATGGATGACTTAACCTATTTAAAAAATACAAAATTCTCGACCCCCTTACACATTAGGTCATTGAACCCCTTTCACCCCCACCCTCCCCCTTTTTCAGCAAAATATGTAGCCATACGATAATTACATCCCCGCTACCCTACATTTAGCTTACCTCCCTCCTTAGATTCACAGTTATTTCAAAGTTGATTTTTTTAAAAATTTGTTATAAAGATCAAGAAATGTTTTCATTTGCTAAATGTTAGTCTCAAATAAATCACTCTTGACTCATTTAACTATAAAATAATAGGATGTAACGCAGTTCAGATCTGCAAAGGCGTAGCGACCCTTCCCGGCGCCCGGGGACAAACTTTCGATTTGCACCCCCTTCGAACTTTTCATTTGCACCCCCCTCCTCAAACTTTAGATTTGCACCCCCACCCCCCTCGAACTTTTCATTTGCACCCCCCTCAAACTTTCAATTTGGCGCCCCCCTAAGGTCGGCGCCCGGGGACGTAGTTCCCACCCCCCCCCCCCCCCCCGCTACGCCTTTGCATATCTGTTGTTTTCTTAAACGTTTGTTAATTTTTTTTACTCCTTTGATAAAATGTAAGCAAAATCGCCCCTTCATTAAAACAGGTGAAATTTGCCTAAATTTTCAACATATAATTCCCTGCCTTAATACAGATTAAATTTTCCCTTTAAATAAAACCGGTCAAATTCTGTCTGCAATAAAACCGGTCAAATTCTGTCTGCAATAAAACCGGTCAATTCTGCCTGCCATAAAACAGGTAAAAAAAAACCCACCCTTGTCCGGATAACCCACTGACAGTGGCTAGGTCGCGTGCTTGCTTCTGACCCACAATTCACCAGGTGTACGTGGCGGGTGCCACTGTTTGACATGGACGCCAAGGTGAAGGTTGTTCACACTGAACCAGAAAAACCCTCTAGCCGCCATTTTGGTTTTCAATCATCGCCCCCCTTCCACCCCCTCCCCCTAACGGAAGTCACCCCAAGTCCATGGCTCGCGAAGACACGTCAATCAAAAAAAAAAAAAACGACAGAATATTCCAGAAGCCTTGCTACAACTTTGGGCACATTACATGTAACTACAAACTACAATATATCTCGGCCTAGGTGCACCTGTATCTTTTACTTTTACCCATTTTTGCGCACGACCCTTGCATGCAAGTGCGCACGCTCAGACAAAAACGACACCAGTTTGCGCACGCATCTTGAGGAGAGTGCAAAAGTGACTAAACTGACGGGCCAAGTTCAAACTTTTATTTATTACTGCCAAATTGGAATTGTGAAAACATCAGAGTAAAAAAAAAAAAGAATTCAAATGTTGTTTTAATATTCGCCACAAACCACGGTAAGACTGCTAACACAGATATTTTTTTCGAAAGTTGTGACGGTTTTATAATTCCATTAAACGCGGAATATTGACTTTTTTTGCATCAACTTTTTTCATTGGTTAGATTGTATTTTAATTTTCACATCATTAACCAGTACTAAAGTTGACCCTGTATGATTGTCTTTTTGTAATCTCTACCACGATTGGTCAAAATTAAATTTCCATTTCTCAAAACAAATTAATTATTATAAACCCTACTACTTGAGTTCTTCCTTTAAAAAACCTCAACAAATTAGATAAATTAAGTGCAGTTTTTATCGAAAATTTAGTTTTAAAAAATTTATCAATACCAAGATTTGATAAGAGGTTAGGAGGTCATAAGTAGTGTTCGCATTCTCGGATAAGTTTACGTTAAATTCACGACTTAAATCCCATTCATCTCTCACGGAGAAGTGACTACTGTTAATCGTTGACTAGTAAACGCTTCATAAACAACAACAAAACTACTGCGCGTCTAGATTAAGTTTAGTTGAAAACAGATCTAGTCGGGGGGTTAGTAGTTTCATTCAGACTATGAGCGAGCCTTGTGCGTAGTTATCAAAACACAGGTAGGAGTATAAACACGATTTTAATTAACCTGGGAGGTTTGGCTAATCTTACAGTTCGTTGGATATATTTTCTGTTAACAAAGTAATTAATTTTTAAACTTTTTTGTGTCATTCAATTACCTATGTTGTTTAATTATCTTCAGATATTCTATACTTTCACAAGTCAATTTAACGCGTTTGATTTCGATTTTCTCAGTGTAATAAAATGCCATGTTTTTAAAATAACTTTAATATTAGCTATGTTTCACAACTGCAATTATAAACATTAACGATAATTAAAAATGTTTAATATTTAACACATTTTGCTTACAAACCCACCTCCACAGACGCTCATTTTTCAACTGATTAGAATTGCAATTCAAATTTTAGTTTTCTGACTTGTGTAGTGTTTGTTCCTTTAATGTAAATTTGTAAGCATTTTACAAAATAAATAATAAAATTGGGGTAAGGGAATTTTTATACCGGTGTCCGATTATAGAATCTTCTTTAAAAAACTGTTAGGTTACAGGTTGTTAACTAAAATACGTCTCGCTAATGTTAGTGCTAACCCTATTCCTTACCCTAGCCCCAACCCTAAAACGTATAACCTTAATTAAGTTCTTCCCATAAAACTAGTCGAGATTACAATACTACCAACAATCTAACACACCTATTTTTTGGAAGAGTCTATTATCGGACATAGGTATCCTCAAACATCCAAATATTTCTTGCAGACACAGAACACTGGAATACCATTATAGTGTTGTTGTTTTTTATTCATCTTTTTCTAGATACTCACATTGTTTTAAATCTCTTTGTGCAACATCTGAATGTATTTCCTTAAATCTCCTGTATATTATATTTATATTGCAATAATTGGCATTTTAATACATACACTAAAGCGTGTTGCTAACTTTTATGATAATTGTACAATATGATATAGCAGGTTACTAACCAGTTATATGTTTATATACTGTCAGAAAATATGTCAATTCCCTCTGTTGATGGCAGGTTCTTGCTGGTTAATTCCCTCTGTTGATGGCAGGTTCTTGCTGGTTAATTCCCTCTGTTGATGGCAGGTTCTAGCAAGTTAATTCCCTCTGTTGATGGCAGGTTCTTGCTGGTTAATTCCTTCTGTTGATGGCAGGTTCTTGCAGGTTTATTCCCTCTGTTGATGGCAGGTTCTTGCAGGTTTATTCCCTCTGTTGATGGCAGGTTCTAGTAGGTTCATTCCCTTTGTTGATGGCAGGTTCTTGCAGGTTTATTCCCTCTGTTGATGGCAGGTTCTAGTAGGTTCATTCCCTTTGTTGATGGCAGGTTCTAGTAGGTTCATTCCCTTTGTTGATGGCAGGTTCTTGCAGGTTTATTCCCTCTGTTGATGGCAGGTTCTTGTAGGTTCATTTCCTTTGTTGATGGCAGGTTCTAGCAGGTTTATTCCCTCTGTTGATGGCAGGTTCTTGCAGGTTAATTCCCTTTGTTGATGGCAGGTTCTAGCAGGTTTATTCCCTCTGTTGATGGCAGGTTCTTGTAGGTTAATTCCCTCTGTTGATGGCAGGTTCTTGTAGGTTCATTTCCTTTGTTGATGGCAGGTTCTTGCAGGTTTATTCCGTCTGTTGATGGCAGGTTCTTGCAGGTTAATTCCCTTTGTTGATGGCAGGTTCTAGCAGGTTTATTCCCTCTGTTGATGGCAGGTTCTTGTAGGTTAATTCCCTCTGTTGATGGCAGGTTCTTGTAGGTTCATTTCCTTTGTTGATGGCAGGTTCTTGCAGGTTTATTCCGTCTGTTGATGGCAGGTTCTAGTAGGTTCATTCCCTTTGTTGATGGCATGTCAATGTTAGGATGAAACAGTTAAAAGAAATAAATAATAAAAATTATATTGAAGCTTACATATTTTCAAAGTTTTATTTTGATAAAATACTTGGATAAAAATTTTACTTTAAAACAATTTTTAAAATTTTATTGCCAAAATTTATAAAGTAGGAAAAAAAAGCCGTACATTTTATATAAGAAATAAAACATTGTACATCAATTTTAAATAAGTCTGATTGAACAGAGCTTTGAAAACTAATGTCTTCGGGTATTTTTGCTATACAAATATCAACTTTATATTTAAGAGGAAATGCAACTTTTTGAGGCACAGCAAAGACGAATTATATAGGCTACAAAATACTAAGACTGTATCCCATTCCAAAAAATTAAGATTTCAAATTAACCATGTGTTAATAAAATTGAAACTTTAATACAAATACAATCTTACATACAGTATTTATGAAATTCTAAAAGATATCATTCTGCAAATGAAAGAGATTAAAAAAAAATAATTCTCAGCTCGTTAGAATTAATCCCACACCTCTCCTGTAATTAAACTCTTGTAATTTAATTTGTGTCTATTTTAAGAATGGCCGCTAGATTTTCAGTTCTGCTTTCACACGGCAGACGATACACTCTGGCACCAGCAGGTGTGCGTGTTACATTTCTGCTAATTAATCTAACATTTAATTTAAAAATTACAATTACAAAACTCTGATTTCAGAAGTCTTCTATGTCAAGGCGGGGTCAGGCTGACCCAGGACTACTTTCTATTTCTAGTTCAGATAATTGAAAAGCAAGTAGATCCACATTAGTATGCTGTTGTTTGAAGAAATGAAATTAATGTTTAGCGCCCAGTTCTGTAGCCGGGTTTAGCTGTTTAGTTCTGCTTAGTTTTAGGTTGAAAATTTTATACTAATCATTTGTTTAGAAAATAATTAGTAATGGCGTCATTGACATTGCAATGGTAAAAGTTCCTAACTGAGAATATTTTAAATTAAATGGAAAAAAAATACCAGCGAACAGTAGGCCTATATTTTTACTAGATGGTCAGATTACAATATATTTTAGCCACAATTTTACTAGCGAGTATATGTGCAGGGGTGGGGGAGATTTTTTAAAATCATGTTCAGTCATGGAAGTGGTTATTTAGCAGCCCTATTTTGTGACTGCAGTCTTTTATTCTAGAACGCAAATGGGTGAAGGGTTTAAGTGATTGAACACGCATCAAAGGCCAGTGTAAATAAGTATAGTTTTAGTATATGGATACATGTGGTTGCCTTCTAGTTCATATTAAGACACTGTAACATATGACCATATGCACTAATTAAAAAAATATATGACATAAATATAAACATAGAATATGTTATACTAGTGTTTAAAACTTAAGCAAGTGTAATTTAGTTCTTTTAGAACGTTACTTCATATGCGTTTCATACATTATTTTATAATTATTGTCGTTAAACAATTGTTATATAATTTTTTATTGTATTTTTTTCACCACCCAATTTAGAAGCAGATAAAATTTTGTGAAAACAACGCTACAGTCGCATACACTATAAAATGTTTAGTTTCGTCCACAATTTAATAAAATTATAAGATATTATTGCTAATCCGAAAAGTCTCGAGTTCGAACCCTCGGGCAGATGAGGCTCGTTAGCTGGGTACAGCCACTCTTCTAGGAGAGACAACTCCAAAATTAAACAACTGCTGCCTTGTAGTTTGTTCTTGGTTGGACAAAGGCTATGGAAGCAAATCCAAAAAGAAAAGCAGGCTGAAATCGGAGTCAATGGCCTCAATGGCGCATAAACAGTTGACACGTAACGCTTAATTGTGTTGGGGGCGTGGTCGAGTCGGCAAAAAGCTCATGGTTGATAAATTCGAACAAAGTCTCGATTTCAAACCCACTGGCAGATAAATCTCGATCCCCTTCAACACTAATAATTAAGAACGAAGAAGAAGAAGAAGATAAGATATTAAGCATTTAAAAAAATCAACATAGAAACCAAATTTTGTATGATTTACGAATTATACAAAGTTGTATTGTGAATGGCTTTGAACGAGGAACTAATATTTCATGTCAGATTTCAATTAAGGGACGCCATCCTGCCTGAATTAAATTCAATCCTTTATTAATTCGGTTATCTCCCTCAGATTTCCACCTTGTCACATCCAGACCGTCGCGACCAGTCCGCCATGTCGGTTGCCATGGAGATCAGCAGCTACACTCCCGTGCTGCTATCTGCGGTGTGTCTACTGGCTGGGTACATCTGGCTCCGGCGCCCCAAGCCCCACGCCCCACCCTGCCCGAGGCGACCCCTGCCACTGCTGGGGAACATGTTCCACATCCCTGCCAACCCCCGGGCTGTCTTCAAACAATGGCGACAGGAACACGGCGACATTTTCTGGTAGTTTACGTTTTTTTTGTTCTGATGTCTAATTTGTTACGTCTCTGGTTGTAGATGTGATTGTGTCTTGACTTCTCTAATGACTGCTTCGATGTATGAGATAATGATTGTGATTGTGTCCATGATTGTTTATCTATCATTGTGTCCATGACTACACCTATGAAATTGTCCATGATTTTGTCTGATTGTGTTAAATGATTATGCAAATGATTACGTCAATAATTGAAATAGTGTTTGTGTACGATTGTCAGTGATTGTGGCAATCATAGTGTCAAAGATAATATTAAGGATTGTGTCTATATTGTGTCTATGTATGTGTCGGTGATTATGTTAATAACTGTGTCTATCATTGTGTCTGTGATTGTGTGAGTGATTATGTTAATAAATGTATCTATGATTGTGTCTATGATTGTGTCTATGATTGTGTCTATGATTGTGTCTATGATTGTGACTATGATTGTGTCTATGATTGTGTCTATGATTGTGTCTATGATTGTGTCTATGATTGTGTCTATGATTGTGTCTATGATTGTGTCTATGATTGTGACTATGATTGTGTCTATGATTGTGTCTATGATTGTGTCTATGATTGTGTCTATGATTGTGACTATGATTGTGTCTATGATTGTGTCTATGATTGTGTCTATGATTGTGTCTATGGTTGTGTCTATGGTTGTGTCTATGATTGTGTCTATGATTGTGTCTATGATTGTGTCTATGATTGTGTCTATGATTGTGTCTATGATTGTGTCTATGATTGTGTCTATGATTGTGTCTATGATTGTGTCTATGATTGTGTCTATGATTGTGTCTATGATTGTGTCTATGATTGTGTCTATGATTGTGTCTATGATTGTGTCTATGATTGTGTCTATGATTGTGTCTATGGTTGTATCTGTTGACAGTCTGTACATAGGACCCACCACGATGATCATCCTCAATGGCTATGATGTCATCAAGGAAACACTAATTAAGAGAGCTAATCAGTTCTCAAACAGACCGGATTTTTACGTTGATCAGGTTAGTTAATTAAACCTTCCGGACACTTGATGTAATGAAACTTTAGTGTCACTAAAAAAAAAGTTAATTTTATTAAATGTTTATGTATTTGGCCATTATCTGTTGATACTTATTCAACATGTTTGACTAAGATATTACATGTAATTAATATAGTAATTTGTAAACATAGCTAGCAATATATCTACTTTGTGAATGTACTAATGAAAGACCCGCACGCATTATGTTTTTCCTTTACACCCGATGTCTTTCCTTTACATCCGATGTCTTTCCTTTACACCCGATGCATCTCCTTTACACCCGATGTCTTTCCTTTACACCCGATGTCTTTCCTTTACACCCGATGCATCTCCTTTACACCCGATGCATCTCCTTTACACCCGATGTCTTTCCTTTACACCCGATGCATCTCCTTTACACCCGATGCATCTCCTTTACACCCGATGTCTTTCCTTTACACCCAATGCCTCTCCTTTACACTCAATGCCTCTCCTTTACACCTAATACCTGTACACTTGCAGGTGGTCGGGGTACCCAACATGGGGGTCATGGCCGCCTCCGGACCCAACTGGAAGGAACAGAGGTCCGTGTCTCTCGCCATCTTGAGGAACTTCGGCATGGGGAAAAACGTCATGGCCGAGAAAATTCTAGAAGAGATCAAGTCCTACCTGGCTCTGCTCGATTCTTACGACGGCGAGCCGACGGATATTCGAATACCGACTAACATGAGCGTCGCTAACTTCATCTGTTCGATGATGGTCGGGGAACGATACGATTACGACGACCCCACTTTCCAGAAACTCATCTCTCTCATGAACTACACTATTTCTAAAGTTCAAGGGTCAAGTATTTTAAACCTGATACCGGCCTTGCAATATTTACCCGGGGATTTGTTCGCGGCCCACAAGGTCAAGGATGCGGTTCTGGAGATGCATCGAATATTCGACAAGAGATTCCATGAGCTGAAAGACAATTTGAAAACTGACGACTCGGCAAGTTTCATCGCGTCGTACCTGAACGAGAAAGAAAAAAGACAAAACGCGGGGTTGAAAACGTACCTCGACGACGCCAACCTCATTAAAATTGTGGTTGAGATTTTCGGCGCCGGGTTCGAGACCTCAAGCAGCACCATTTTGTGGTGCGTTCTTTTCATCCTGCACAACCCGCACGTTCAGGAGAAGATTCACCAAGAACTGGACGCCGTGGTGGGCAGGGAACGGACCCCGAACATGCAAGACAAGCCGAATCTGAAATACCTGACCGCCGTTGTCATGGAGACCCAGCGTCTTGCCAGCGTGGCCCCGCTCGGGGCGCCCCACACCTGTTCAGAGGAGACGCTTCTGCGGGGGTTCAACATCCCCAAAGACGCCTACATCCTGCCCAACCTGGACTCGGTCCTGCACGACCCAGCCGTCTGGGGTGACGATGTTGACCAGTTCCGACCCGAGCGGTTTCTCGACTCGGACGGTCACGTGACCAAACCCGAACACTTCATCCCGTTTTCCGCTGGCCGGAGACTGTGCCTGGGGGAGGGGGTGGCGAACATGTTCCTGTTTTTGTACCTGTCCTCCATGTTCCACAGGTACACCTTCGCCCCACCCGACCCGTCCCACCCCCCACCCTTAGACGACATCTTCGGTATTGTTGCCGCGCCGAAAAATTTCAAAGTCAGTATTACGAAAAGAAAGGGATAGAACTCATGTATTAGAGAGATTACAAAAATTATCAGAGTTATCGAACCTTTATGAGTTTCAAGTCTTTGTGATGTACACACTTTCGATTTGATTCAAACAGCTCAGCAAAGAGACATCGAATGACGTGATCAAATTAACGCGGATGATTCATTCCCCGGTGTAAAAGAACATGCAATCTATAACAATCAGTGATTGAAATTTTAAGTTTCACTTCCTATTTAATTCCATGGATGCACTTTAATGAAATTTAGCGGAGATTATAATTTCGAGGCTGAGTTGGATCATTAGTAAATGCGTTAATTGTTTTTTTTAAATTATGTAGCAGTAACTAAAACAGCACAATTAAAGCTGCTACAATCTAGGTCCAGGGAAGGTCCTTTGTGGACATGGCTACACCTGGACCTGTTACTGTTACAGGTGCACTGAATTCCCGGTTTTCTTTAAGTTATTACTAATTTATATCTATAATTATTGAATATATTTTTTACCAAAAATGGAAACAAGGTTGATCTAAAATAAACTGCTTAATGTGGTTGGTCAAAGGCACCTACTTCACACAGTCGATTTGACTCTGATGGTTTTGTTGATTTTTGTGTGGTGTGGGTGTGGTGGGGGTGTGTTGTTGGTGTATTGTGGGTGTGTTGAGGGTGTGTTGGGGGTGTTTGATTGGTTGATTGGTGTATAATGAGTATAATGAGTGTATATGTAGTGTAATGTTGGAGTGTCCTAGGAGACTAGAGTCAGCAATGTAAAAAAATGTTTATAATAAAATCTAATTCTTATAGAGATTACCGTGTTGTTATTTCTAAGCAGATTTTGTCGTGCACTTAGATTTCTACTGAAACATTTATTGATGTGATACAGAGGCGTAGCGACCCTTCCTCACCCCCCCCCCCTCTCAAACTTTCGATTTGCACCCTCCCCCACCTCAAACTTTTAATCTGCACCCCCCCCCCTCAAACTTTCAATTTGGCGCCCCCCCCCTAAGGTCAGCGCCCGGGGACATGTGTCCCCACCGCCCCCCCCCCCCCCGCCCCCGCTACGCCTCTGATGTGATACCAATATTCTGACAGTTTTAAAATACGGACTCGCTAAAATTATCCCTAGCGACTGCAATGTGTCCTATTTGGCAAGTAGAATCAAAACTTTTTTTTTTAAATTTAAATCGCAAAAGTTTATTTTGATAAGCAACTTACTAAGCGTCATATCCAACTCATAATTAGCTTCACCGTCTTTGCCTTAAGCTCTAACGTAACTCTTCTGCCTTTTTACCATATCCGTGCCAAGGTTTGTGGCACTCGGTTTGACTGAAGCAAGTATTACAAAGACCGGCCGTGTATTAAGGTAAAAGTGAAAACAAGTCTTCAAAGAGACACAGCTAAAGACCAAAAAAAAAAAAACGCAGGAATCTTACAACGTGGAAAACACTAGTAAACCACCGTTATGTTAATTTAGTTTCATGTAAAATTCAGTTTCAAATATTAGCGGGTAGCATCCATAGGCGGCTTCCACCTTCAGATGTTTATGTAAGAGTGGGTAGGGGGGGGGGGGGTTGGACAAGCACCATACCAGCTAGATTCGCTAATGGAAGAATCAAACCCGTCTACTCAAAGGTAAAGCAGAATATATTGCAAGGTAGATAACTACAGAATCTCGCATCGTATTTGTTTTACATTTTTACCTCCCTTATGTATGACCGCAATTAGCTAACAGTTGTTACAGGCAGCAAATAGACTGCAATTATTGTGCATATTTAATTTAATGTTAAAGATGACTAAGGATGGTTGAAATTATCGTAATAATTCTGCAAAATAGTAATTAAATTTGTGTAATCGACTTTATAAATTATGGAAAATTATACCTATACAATCATCACACAATATTTTAAGTAGAGTCTATCTTTTTCTATGTCCTCGGATTGTGCGGTAAGCACTATGCACAGCCGCCTTTGTTTTCCCAAACGTGTGTTAGGTACCCATCAGAGCTGGTTGGACTCAGGGACGTACGTTCTCCTATTGAACCACGCCGCCCCTTATTTGTGTATCAAGACGTGGATTTATTTTCAAAAGTTAGTCAAGAAAAAACAATTTTGAAATCATCCACATAAACCATTTAAAATGTGGTGCTGCATCTAGCCGTTAATTACGCCACATCTTTACCCCCAACAACAAACGTGTTGACGAAGCTAGAACAAGGTCAATGTCTCTTTTGTCCACGCTATGTGTGGGTGAGGACATGACTTCTCCCCCCCCCCCCCCCCCCCCCCCGGTCAGAGATGTACTTTTATCTAGTTTTATCTAAGATGTTTACAACACCAAACCTCAGTTAAAGCTAAGATAGAACTCTCTCGCTGTCACTGATCGTGTGTCGTGAATCATGGTAGAGAAACAAACTTTACAATAGCGACTTTTCTTACTATACCCGCGACCCGCATCATTCAATTTGGTGGATAAAATAACGACATAACAAGTTAAGGTGAGGCTATGTGTGAATACATTTCTTGGGATATTCTGCTGATGTTTTTTTGTGCAAGTACATTTTCATTTCGAATTTCCCAGGTTTTAATTTAATTTAATTTCTTTTGCTTTATCTATATAAGTATGTGCTTAACGCAACACTGGTATCAGGAGAATGATATTATTTGAATTGATCTTTAGCTTACTTCCCGTGGCTAGACTTGGATAAGCTAAGATGATAGATCTGATCAACGCCGTCTTGACCATTGCGGTTTTGGTTCTAACCTGCTTGTGGTTTAAGCGCCCCAAACAAAATCTACCCCCGTACCCCACCCGTCCCTTACCTCTACTCGGACATTTACTCACGCTAGAGGACAACCCAAGGTCACAGTTCAAGACATGGCGGGAGGAGTTAGGGGATATTTTCAGGTCAGTATGAGCTTAGTATCTGGTGTGTTAGGCTCATTTTAATGGGGTTGTGTGTAAAAGTGTGGGGGGTAGGCGGTTGTGTGTAAAATGTGTGGGGAGGTGATTGTGTGTATAATGTTAGGGGAGGTGGTTGTGTGTAAAATGTGTGGGGGAGGTGGTTGTGTGTAAAATGTGGGGGGAAGTTGTTGTGTGTAAAAAAGTGTGGGGAGGTGGTTGTGTGTAAAATGTGGGGGGTGGTGGTAGTGTGTAAAATGTGGGGGAGGGGGAAATTGTGTATAAGGTGAAGAGAAAGGTGTAAAGTTGATGGGGGAGTTGATTTTGTGGGTGGCGGGAAGGGGGGGTGACAAAGATGTATGCAAAGAGTGGGGGAGGTGGTTTTGTGTAAAGTGTGTGTGTGTGGGGGGGGGGTAGGGTGGACTGGTTGTTATGTGTACCGTGGGTGGAGATAGGTTGAGGTTCTTGTTTTCATTTTACTTATTCCTTTATTTACATTTAATAGCACTACAATAAACAAACCCCTGAGTCTCAAGTCCACATTTTATAAAACACCACCGTCGATTTCACCTATACTGTATACATCCACAACACTATACTTCGTTACTTAGCTGAAACAAAAGAACTTAAATCTCATATTGTGATAACATAATTGAACCTGTCCTTTAACCAGTCTACAGATGGGGAGTGAGCTGCTGGTTATAATATCTGGCTATGACCTTATTAAAGAACTTTTTCTCAAACGTGCCGGGGAATTCTCAGACCGTCCAAAACTCGCTTTTGATCAGGTTAAATTTTTTTCTTTCTGTTTCCTTTTGTCTTAAGGTATTATTAAGTTAGATGTATTTTACATTATTATAATCCATTATACAAACTTATAAAAGTTAAGTAAGTTTTTAAGTAATCCGTAGGTGGAGTAATTTTAAGGTTGAACGCTTTTAAGAGAAGATAAAGTAGTGGCCTTTTTATCTTTGATCACGGAATATAAAGACTGCATGGACATCGGAGATTATTGGGTTAGAGACGTCCTATAAACATGACCGTCATTCAGTGACGTCCTATAGACCTAACCGTCATCCAGTGACGTCCTATCGAACTGACCCTCAATCAGTCAACTTCAGACTTATGACGATTATCACTCTCATTTTACTTTGACGATATGGAGTAACATACACCAATCAATGATTGCGGTTTTATTGTTGTCTTTTAAAGATACAAAATACATTTCTATTTAAAATAAAACGTTTAATATATTTTTTTTTTAAACATAGGTAAATCCTCTACCGGAGAAAGGCATAACTTTCTCAAAAGGAAAAAGCTGGAAAGAACACAGAACTGTCGCTCTGCACATTTTGCGAGATTTTGGAATGGGTAAAAATATACTGGCTGGCAGAATCCAAGAGGAGGTCACTCACTTTCTCGACCTGTTGTCTGAGAGCTGCGGCCAGCCATCCGACGTCCGAGTAGCCACGTACGTCAGCACAGCTAACGTCATCAGCTCCATCGTCCTGGGTCACAGGTTCGACTACAAGGACGAGAGGTACCAGGATATGATCGCCAGGTTCTCAAAGTCCGTCTCCGCTGATAATTTCAACAGCCCGGTTAACTTCTTCCCGTGCCTGAGGCATCTTCCTGGGGATTTCTTTCACGTGAAGGAGATGAAGAAAGCAGTCAAGGACCTGTTTAAGTTTATTCACTCATTTGTTCAAGAGAAAGGTTACATCGAATACGACGAAAATAATATCGATAATTTTATCGCTGCGTACGTTAAGGAAATGACTTTAAAGAAAAGTAGGGGAAAGTTAACTTTTTTGAGCGATGAAGGTCTTATGAAAGTGGTGTATGACTTGTTTACTGCAGGTATGGAGACCACAAGTGCAACAATAAACTGGTGCCTGTTGTATGTGTTAAATTACCCGGATGTTCAAGCTAAAATATACCAGGAAATGAAAGAAAAAATCGGATCTGACAGGCGACCGTGTATTCAGGATAAACAAAGTCTTGTCTATTTAACCGCCGTGATCAAAGAAACGCAAAGGTTATCAAGTATAGTGCCAAACAGTGTAACTCACACCTCTCTTCATGATGTGACCGTCCGAGGCTACACCATCCCTAAAGGAACTTACATCTCACCCAACCTGGACTCTGTCTTACACGATCCAAAGATCTGGGGCAATGACGTCATGGAGTTTAAACCTGAAAGATTTATAGACCAAGACGGGAAGTTAAAAACTCCTGAAGAGTTCATCCCCTTCTCGATAGGTCGTCGTGTCTGTTTGGGCGAGTCCCTGGCTGTCATGGAGTTGTTCCTGTACCTCTCATCAATCTTCCACAGATTTGAGATTCTGCCAGCAACTCCGGGCTCGCCGCCTCCAATCAAATACAAGTTTGGCATCATCGCCGTCCCGTTGGCCTTTCAACTGAGAGCAGTAGAGCGAAGATGGGAACATGCCGTGTAAAGACATTATGGCTTCAAATAAAACTGTCGTTTTTGACTGTCACAGAACAGTACATTGTATTTCATGATCTTTTCCCGTTCGTACCCAAGACACATGAGGCAGAGGAAGTAGAGTTCATCGGCTTGAGAGACCTCAGCATATGAAGGGATAGTGTGGTCAACACTATACCAGCCGCCTTTGTTATCTCTGAGTTAGGTACCCACCGGAGCTGGGTGGACTCGGGAACTTTCTACTGATTTGTTTCGAATCTACATTATATTTATATGACTAAAATTATTTAAAATACTTTTTAAAAGTATTATTCTGTGAAGAGACAACGCCGTCGTACAGTAAAGCACACAACTGCTCCAGTCTCCAGTTTCCCGACCGAAGGACTACCCTGCATCAACTTACCTGACGTTAGGAAAATTTAAACAACTACTGGATATAATGCTGATAACACTATCCTATAAACTGCTGAAGTCCCAGAAATAAATAGACTTTCTTCAAACGGTCTATGGACCGTCAGGTCCGAAGGGGTACCTTTTTTACTAACTACATACACTCGAATAAATCATACTTTGCCTGTATTTGTTCATATATTATATTTTTTGTGAATGACAATTGTGTTTTAGTTTTTATTTCAATGTGATAAATAAAGTAAACAAAGAAGACGGTTTCCCGACAATGTAGACATTATTTCAATGACAGATCACCAGCATTTGACGTCATTTAACTATCAGATAGTCTGCTTTATAATCGGATATTCCGAATGAATAATCTGGTTTGCAACTCATAACTTACCTGAATTTTAGATTGTACACAACGCAAACCAAATAAGTGTTACCCAAAAACAACATTTTAAGTACATAAAATCTCATTCTCTATTAACGTGACATTTTAGTATAAGCTGCCCTAAATTTAAGACAGATTTTCTTAAAATGGTCCTAGACTAACTCCGCCTCCAGATCTGTCTTGGGTGCCCTCGCTTCCGCTTTCCCTGAGGGTTCCACTCTAGCGCCTGACGAGTCACACTAGAGTGAGCCTTTAGCAGTGTATGCCCCACCCAGGGCCACTTCCTACTTCTTAAGTTCTAGTTGGTAACTAAAACTTTAGATTTCATTTTAATTTAATTATATATAGAATACTGAATAGTGTAACTGTAAATTTTTAAATTATTTTCTTTGCTAGCTTTTTCTTGTAAAAATAAATACAATTAATTATTATTTTAAATACATGTATATCATTAACTTAACTTTTCAGTATTAAAAAACCAAAGCAAAAGTACTATTTATAGATCAGCCGTGTCAGTGACCTCAATATATAAATGGAAAGTGTGGTCAGTGCAGTGCCTGACAGACTTTGCTTGTGATTGGGATGCCCGTTAGGGCTGGGTGGACTCAGGGATCCGAACACATGACATTCGGGTTAGCAGGCGTATTTTCTACCATCCAACCACCAGAGTTTCTTCCAGACTTTTTTCTTATGGGGGCACTTGATATTTTTTTTGGGGGGGGGGGGGGGGGGGTCTACATTTTCCGGTGGAGGGACGGACACTAGTAAAAGTATATGTTTACTATATAAATTCCATCTCGTTCGGGGGGGGGGGGGGTCTACATTTTCCGGTGGAGGGACGGACACTAGTAAAAGTATATGTTTACTATATAAATTCCATCTCGTTCGGGGGGGGGGCGGTAGACTTTCTTGGGGGAGGGGCGAACCCCCCCCCCCCCCCCCCCCCATCCCCGAAGAGATGCATGTCAGAAACTCTGCCAACCACGTCGTCCACAATTATGTAAACGACTTGAAAAAAAAATTTTTCCTTCTAAACTTTAAAAAAAAATTAAAGCTAAAATATTTTTCTAATCTAGACACCATTTTTCCCTTACTTCGTCCTTACAAATATCAACCGCAATAGTTCTCACGTTCCCTAGAGCACATCTCCACCACCTGACTCTCGCCAGCTGGAGGTACTTTTACACTAACCCTGACCTTGTCCTAGGAGAGTGTTTTAGAGTTGTCCGCAAACGAGACCTTAACTTGGTGTATTTATAGTTTACCTTAGTTTAAAGCTTCCCAGTGTATTGTATAGGCTACTTGGTGTATTTATAGTTTACCTTAGTTTAAAACTTCCCAGTGTATTGTATACTTCACTTGTGGAAAGCTGTGTTTGACTTCTGATAACGAATTAGTTATGAGATCTTTAAGTCAATAATTAGAACTGTACAGTAATTGACTTTCTATTCTTCTGAGAGTGTTGTTCTGATAGCTACAAGATAAAGCTTCTTATAAAAGCTGGACTGGATTAGACGCTAATTTATTTTAGTGACAACACCGAACAAGGAATATTTGGAACTTATAAATATGTAAGCTTTACAATAGTTTAAACCCCAGACAAGTTATATTAAAAATATTTTTTTTTTAATTTAAGCTTGTTGAAAACTTGCATTATTTTGTGAAGTTTAAATTTGTGGTTTCGGACCGTGCACGATATATTGTTCTTTGATTACAGGAACTCATTGTACGAACACTTATTTCTTGAAATAACACTGTAGGCCTAACCTTGCAATTAATAATTGTACTAAGATATTTTATTTTATGTATGCATATAGAAAATTTCCCCGTACATTTGAAATTTGAAATAAAAACTCCAACAAAATTATAATTATCTACCTAGCTTATTTAAAGATCCACCATCCATGATGCTTGACCTAACTACATGGATTATCACCACTGCCATCGTAGTCCTGGCCTGGTACATGCTCCAACGCCCCAAACCCAATCTCCCCCCATTTCCTTCCCGCCCCTTACCTTTTATTGGACATCTACTCACGCTGGGGAAGAACCCAAGGCCGACTTTAAAAAGATGGCAGGAAGAACTAGGAGATATTTTCAGGTAAGTTTTTCATTAACCAAGATTCTCACCCCACCCCTTAAAGACCGCACAACCGTCCACCAGCATTCGGACGAAATAGAAAAAAAAACATTTAAAAACAAAATATATACTTTAACCAAAATCTCACAGCCCCCCAACCCCAACGAATTTTAAGCCCCTCCCCCCCCCACCCTCAGAGAAAAATAAACACTGATTATTAGACAGGTGTATATTTACACGATTTGTGTTCTTAAACTATTCAAATAGCAGGCTTATATATCACTTAACTATCATATTTTAAACCAATATTCGCAATTCTAAAATTAATTAATTAATTAATTAATCAATCTTTTCTTTAAGCCTGTACATGGGGAGTAAACTGGTTGTGTTCGTCTGTGGCTATGACCTGATTAAAGAACTTTTTCTTAAGAGACCAGAAGAGTTCTCTGACCGTCCAAAACTTGCTGTTGATCAGGTAGTTTTAAATTTAAAATTGTTTATGGTTTTATCAATAATATATCAGCAGAATAAAACAACATTTTTAAAAAATATTATCTTCTCAATTTAATTTTATCAGCTTTGATTAAAGGCTACTTTGCTTGCAAGAAATTCGAGAGATCACATTTTATTCTAATATCTAAGCTTGATTAGTTTAATTCTGAACCAGGGCTTCTTTCATGCATATCTTTGGATAATTTATATGGAAAATATATACTTTTACCAGTTTCCACCCCCACCCCATCCAGGATTCGGAGAACAAAGTCTAAAAGAAACATTGTTCTAAACAGATCTATAGTTATTATAGAAGTATCAAAACCACATCACACAATTTAATAACTAACTAATTTATTCTATAAACAAAGCAGAAAATATTGCGAGAGTACTCAGTACAATTCATCATGTTAGCATCACAACTATATTTTCGTAACTTGAAAATGTAAATAACTTAGATTTAAGATAGATGACAAAAATTTTATTTTTTAAACACAGGTAAACAAATTACCCGAAAGTGGTATCATATTCTCCAACGGCGCCAAATGGAAAGAACAAAGAACTCTCTCGCTACACATTCTGCGAGAGTTTGGGATGGGAAAGAACATTTTGGCTGAAAAAATCCAGGAGGAAGTAAATAAATTCCTCGACCTGTTGGCAAATCTGAAAGGCCAGCCTTCTGACATCAGAGTTGCCACCAACATCAGCAATGCCAACGTCATCAGCTCCATCATCCTGGGACACAGGTTCGACTACCACGACCAGAGACTGCAAGACATGATCGTTCGTATCACGGCCGTACTCGCGGACCAACAAATCAACGGCGCGCTCAATTTTTTCCCAAGTCTTCGATTTCTCCCCGGGGACTATTTCCATATTAAGAAGACGAAAAAAATCGTGGATGATATTTTAGAGTTCTTGAAAGAATTTGTTGAGCAGAAAGGCGTGGTTAAGTATGATGAGAACAACGCGGACAATCTGATAGCTGCTTACATTAAGGAACTAAAATCTAGGAGGAGTAAAGGTCAGGAGACGTACCTGAGTGAGATGGAGCTTGTCAAATCTGTTTTTGATTTGTTTATTGCCGGCACAGAGACCACCAGCACCACCATCACGTGGTGTCTGCTGTACGTCCTCAACCATCCGGATGTGCAGAAGAAGATTCACAGCGAGCTACAGCAACAGATAGGAAACAACAGAACACCCTGTATCCAAGACAAGCCGAAGCTGGTTTATTTAAATGCTGTCATTAAAGAAACTCAGAGGTTGGCAAATATTGTACCACAGGCTATAACCCACACCTGTCCTCGTGACGTCACCGTCCGCGGCTACACCATCCCTAAAGGAACTTACATAACTCCAAACCTGGACTCCGTCTTACATGATCCTAAGATCTGGGGCGATGACGTCATGGAGTTTAACCCTGAAAGATTTATAGACCAAGACGGGAAGTTAAAAACTCCTGAAGAGTTCATCCCCTTCTCGATAGGTCGTCGTGTCTGTTTGGGCGAGTCCCTGGCTGTCATGGAGTTGTTCCTGTACCTCTCATCAATCTTCCACAGATTTGAGATTCTGCCAGCAACTCCAGGCTCGCCCCCTTCAATGGAATACAAGTTCGGTATTGTGTTAGCGCCTTTACCCTATCAGCTTAGACTTGTAGAACGGGTTTAGCGGTACACAACGGATCTGTATCTAAAATCTCTTAATAACCAAATACCCCACTATATAAACATTTTAATGGCAAAATACATACGTTTTTTTTCCCTCATAGAATTATGACTTATATCTAATATTTGAAACATAAAAGTAAAATCTCTGTTTGAATAAAAAAGATAATTTAAACTTTTGGACATTTGCAATGATTTGTAATATGATCTAATGTTAAAATATCCAATCTTTAAATTCTTTAAATTATTTGAGTTCATTACAGGTTAAAATCTAGGACTACTGAACTAAAAGTAGATTGACTATCCTTTATAACAATTGTTACGATTATTATATTCAGATAAATATCTTGCGCTCACAATACAACTTTGCATTTGTTACTGTAAACTAATTTATATTTAAGAATATAAAAATATACGAAAATATTTTCAATGTTTATATATTTTTAAATTCTTATTTGTAAACTAAATACACTCAACAATTTTTGTAAATGCATTATATTACTAGTTTATTTTTGTTATTTTGGAATAAAACTAGGAAATTTAAAAGGAATAAAAAAATATAATTTAAACATGAATAAAACACGCAGCTTTAAAGAAAGAGGCCAGATCTGCGATAAATCAATATTATATTGATATAAATAATCTTTCTTGAAATCTATTTGGTGGAGGTTTTGATTATTTTATGAACTCGTACTCTGAAAAAATAAGCACAAAAAATATTTTTAAAAGTTTTAAAATGTGAATGTATATAAATGGACATTTCTTTAAAATTTTCAAAAGCCTGAGATGCCACTTTTTCTAGCATAAATGACCAGCTGCTTATTTCAAAACATATGTTATTTTTCAATGATTTTGTCATATTTATATTGATTCCATATATATATATATATATATATATATATACACTTTCATATTTCCTTTAACAATATCTCAACGACAAATTCGAAAAATAAATTTGATAAATTTAATTATGACATGTTTCGTCGTTTTTTGTTTTTGTTTTTGTTACAACGAGAATGAAACCAACAGCTTCAGATTCTACCAGCTCTACAAGATTAGATAAGAACTGGAACTATGGAATAATATCAGCCCCTCTGTGACCCATCACGTCCATAAAACATTGGCTGTTGGCCACATTTGGTTGTAAACATACATGCCATGGAGCTGCCTCGTGGGCTGGGGTTGGTGCAGATAGGCCAGTGTCAGAACATGCGATGTTTTAAGTAGTTTACTGTGTGTTTAACGCTAGATATGGTGGGTTGGTGTGGGAGTGGTGAGGGGGTATAGCTTCCTTTCTGACAAAATATATCATTGGCATCAGTGTTTCTTCCAGACATTTTTCTCCGGGGGCGGGGGCACTTGAAATTTTCGGGGGGGGGGGGGGGGGCGGTAGACTTTCTTCGGGAGGGGGGGGGGGGGGCGGACACTGTTAAAAGTATATATTTTCTATATAAATTATATAAATTTCATTTCGTTCGGGGGGGGGGCGGTAAAAATTTTGGGGGTGGGGGGTTAGCCTTGAAGAAACTGTGATTGGTATAGAGCTTGAAAAACAAGGCTATACACGGGGGTTGGGGGGGGGGTGGAGTGGAACTAGCTTTTAACAAATGTTATTAAATATATAGAGCTCACAAAACAAGGTTATATATAGGGTTGGGGGGATGTTGGAGCTCCATTTTGAAACAAAATTTAATTTGTATAAAGCTATAAAAACCGCTGCTGTGTTCTACATATAATTTTCTGTAAACAAAGGCAAACGCAAAATAAACATGTCTACACGTTTTTCTCTAGATAAGACGATCTGGATGACTGGAATTCATAATGGCATTTTGGGCGTTCTTGTAAAGCTACATTTACATACTTTTTTAGTTTTAAATAACCTTTGTATAGTTTGTAGGCCTAAAATGTAAGAGTTTGGTTATGTTTAGGTATGATAGTTCAGGATTATGATGGTTGAGGTAGGCTTTTAGCCTTAATTAAAGTCAAAGTTAGATCTCGAGGTAGAGTTACGGCATACTTAAGGGGTTGTTAGTGTGTAAAGTTTTGAGAAAGTTTGTATTAACTACACCATTATGATTATTTGGCTGAACTCGAAGTTCCTGAGAGGTAAATCTGACTATCAATTTTATTGTACAGCGTTTGTGGTCAATGACAGCACCCTTTAGAATCAGTTGTATCGAAATGTTTCGGCTGTGTTGCCAACTGACTTTCTGACCTGCTGTTATGTAAAGCCTTGGCCATTGTGCCATGCACGAAACAAAATGCGGGTAAGTTATTCAACACAAGCCTAATCTTTTAGCGGAGACACCCATGTTTGCACTTGCATATTTTTAAATAAGATTATGTCGGGAATTTACAGTTTCGTTTTATGGTCATTGTCCTAGTTTTCAAATGTAATAAAAAAATAACACGGAACCTCGTGGACTTTGTAAAACAAACAGGCATTCATTGATTTAAAAAACGATAATTAAAAGTTATTTGACAAATATGTCAATATATTTCAGATCCTGACAATGAAAAATCAACAAATACATTCGCCAAAAATATATTGTACATACACATACAATTTTTTATATAGGGATTTCGATCCCAAATTTTTCTAATTTTCTAACCATTGTGTGTATTAGTCGTACTGTGTGTGTGTGTGTCTGTCTGTATGTGTCTGTCTGTGTGTGTGTCTGTGTGTATGTGTACGCTCGTGTGTTTATGTTGGAGTGGGCGAGTGGAAAGAGGGAGGGGGGACGGGACGGGACGATGTTTCCTAGAAATTTTTATGTAGTCTGAGTTGTGGTTGTCGCTGTAAATGTTATTTGGCTTTATATAGTGTATTTGGGTGGGTCGAGAATGTCGCATTAATGTTTTACAAAATTTAAAAAAAAACACAATATAAACAAACAGGATGCTTTACAAAAACTATAATTATGTAACATGAAACATTGTAAGTGTAACATTCCGAGGATTCTAGTTCACTCTGCCGTTAAACGTGAACTACTCACCGACATTTATTCTAAGTAGAGCACAGGACGACGGCTGTTTGAATAAAGGGGGCTGACCTCAGAGGTCAAATTGACCTAATGCAGGTCAGGCAAGTAGAGGTTGAGGATGGAAAGTTCAATCTCAATTTTGGCACCTAAGACAAAAATGTGAATTAAACTGAACCTAGTCTTGTCGAAACTTTAATACCTGAGAAATTAACAAGAAATGAAATATCTATTGTTCTTATGCTAAATCTATTCGTTCATTGATTACCGTGGCTTTTATGAACAGCTAGTATTTAAAGATAAAGAGCCTGGATAAGAGAAATTATATTTTTAAAAATTTGCTACTGTGAGGTAAGTCAAATTCTTTATCAGTTGTACATCTACATTACGTTATACAGATGTAAAGAACTCTTCGTTAAATAGATGTAAAGAACTATTCGTTATATAGATGTAAAGAACTATTCGTTATATAGATGTAAAGAACTATTCGTTAAATAGATGTAAAGAACTATTCGTTAAATAAATGTAAAGAACTATTCGTTATATAGATGTAAAGAACTATTCGTTAAATAGATGTAAAGAACTATTCGTTATATAGATGTAAAGAACTATTCGTTAAATAGATGTAAAGAACTATTCGTTATATAGATGTAAAGAACTATTCGTTAAATAGATGTAAAGAACTATTCGTTAAATAAATGTAAAGAACTATTCGTTATATAGATGTAAAGAACTATTCGTTAAATAGATGTAAAGAACTATTCGTTATATAGATGTAAAGAACTATTCGTTAAATAGATGTAAAGAACTATTCGTTAAATAAATGTAAAGAACTATTCGTTATATAGATGTAAAGAACTATTCGTTAAATAGATGTAAAGAACTATTCGTTATATAGATGTAAAGAACTATTCGTTAAATAGATGTAAAGAACTATTCGTTATATAGATGTAAAGAACTATTCGTTAAATAGATGTAAAGAACTATTCGTTAAATAAATGTAAAGAACTATTCGTTAAATAGATGTAAAGAACTATTCGTTATATAGATGTAAAGAACTATTCGTTAAATAGATGTAAAGAACTATTCGTTATATAGATGTAAAGAACTATTCGTTAAATAGATGTAAAGAACTATTCGTTAAATAGATGTAAAGAACTATTCGTTAAATAAATGTAAAGAACTATTCGTTATATAGATGTAAAGAACTATTCGTTAAATAGATGTAAAGAACTATTCGTTATATAGATGTAAAGAACTATTCGTTAAATAGATGTAAAGAACTATTCGTTATATAGATGTAAAGAACTATTCGTTAAATAGATGTAAAGAACTATTCGTTAAATAAATGTAAAGAACTATTCGTTAAATAAATGTAAAGAACTATTCGTTATATAGATGTAAAGAACTATCCGTTATATAGATGTAAATAAATGTTCGTTATACGAAAGGAACTATTCGTTATATAGTATATAGATGTAAGGAACTATTCTTTACTTTGTTTGACGGGGCGTGGGTAAATGTGCACTGGACTGACAAGCTTAAAATGTCAGCCCCAGCATGAACCCAAGTTTCAGCCTTGACATCCACGTTACACAAGCATGTGACCCGCCAGGCCCTACAGATTAGGTTAGAAAGTTCCACATTACTTTCCTGTACTTAAAGCTTTGCTGAGGTTTCATTTTCTCTTGAGCCTCGGTACAAGGTACTGTAAGCGTTCTGTATGTTGAGTGTTTTCTTAACTAAATACAGGTAAATTGCTGCAAAATATTTTAAAAGGTTATTTTCTGACTTTGCATATATAAATGTTATAGATTCTAAGTTAATTGTTCTCAGCTTGTCTATCTTAAAATATTGAAACTAAAAAATAATGCCTTTTCTTGAAAGAAGAAATTTAATATCTGACAGGTTTTTTCACCCGTGTTCTTAAAGAGGTCAAGATGATTGACCTATTGACAGTTTACCTAGCTACTGGCATCCTGGTCCTTGTCTACCTGTGGGTCAAACGTCCAAGATTAAACCTCCCTCCCTGCCCCACCCGCCCCTTGCCTCTACTCGGACATTTACTCACACTGGAGGAAAATCCAAGGTCACAGTTCAAGAAATGGCACGAGCAGTTGGGAGATATATACAGGTAATAATTATATATATATATATATATATATATATATATATATATATATATATATATATATATATATATATATATATATATATATGCTATTTTCAGGCAGCATTATTTTATTACGTATAAATATACGCTGTACATAAAGATAATTTTAAATTTTGTACATAGATAAATATAATTTTCAGGGATGTTATATACATGCATGACCACATGAAATAACAAAAAACTTATATCCACTTAGTAATTATAAAAGCTGCCAAACGGAGAAAGTAGTGTAAGCCATTTTAAGTCTGGTTTGTTTTGATTGTTCCATAAGATTTTACTTTTTCCCCAGCCTGTACATGGGCAACAAACTCGTAGTTTTTATATGTGGCTACGACCTGATGAAGGAACTTCTGCTCAAGAGGAGGGATGAGTTTCAATATCGACCAAAGATAGTTTTCAACGAGGTTAAAAATTGGCAATCACTATATTTCGTATTTTACCATTTTAATTAGAAATTGGCTTGATGGAAATTAATTTAACCACAGACATTTTGTGTGGATATAATATTACTGTAACAACTTTTAATCTATTTAATTTTATACACTAAATTTTAAATTTCATTCATAAAATTATTTGTATTTATTTAATTATATTTTTTTTCCTCATGCACAGGTTTGTCCATATCCGAAAAGTGGCGTTATTTGCTCGAATGGACCCAACTGGAAAGAACAAAGAACAGTTTCCTTACACATTCTGCGAGATTTCGGAATGGGCAAGAACATCCTGGCTGTTAAAATCCTAGAAGAGGTGGACCACTTTCTTGACCTGTTGTCTGAACTCAATGGCGAGCCATCGGACATTAGGATAGCCACCAACATCAGCACAGCCAACGTCATCAGTTCTATAGTGCTCGGTCACAGGTTCGACTACAAGGACGAGACATTGCGAGAGTTGATTATAAGGTTCACGGAGGTGGTAGCGAGTCAACACTTCAACGGGGTCATCAACTTTTTCCCGATTTTACGTTATTTACCTGGGGATTTATTCCACATCAAAAAGACCAGCAAAACTGTCGAGGATATTTTTAAGCTACTTGGACATTTTATTCAACAAAAAGGGGTTGATGAATACGATGAGAACAAAATTGATAGTTTTATAGCGGCGTATGTGAAAGAGATCAAATCTAAAACAAGCCTTGGAGAAAAGACTTACTTGAATAAAGATGAACTTATCAAGACAGTCAATGATTTGTTTACTGCCGGCATGGAGACCACGAGTACAACAATCACCTGGTGTTTGTTGTATGTTCTTAACAACCCGGATGTTCAAGCTAAAATTTACGAGGAAATGAAAGAAAAAATAGGAACGGACAGACGACCGTGTATACAGGATAGACCAAAACTTACCTACCTAAACGCCGTCATTAAGGAAACTCAAAGGCTGGCCAGTCTTGTTCCTCAGTCTGTAACCCACACCTGTCTTCATGACGTCACCGTCCGAGGCTACACCATCCCTAAAGGAACTTACATCTCACCAGATTTGGACTCTGTCTTACACGATCCTAAAATCTGGGGCGATGACGTCATGGAGTTTAAACCTGAAAGATTTATAGACCAAGACGGGAAGTTAAAAACTCCTGAAGAGTTCATCCCCTTCTCGATAGGTCGTCGTGTCTGTTTGGGCGAGTCCCTGGCTGTCATGGAGTTGTTCCTGTACCTCTCATCAATCTTCCACAGATTTGAGATTCTGCCAGAAACTCCAGGCTCGCCGCCTCCAATCAAATACAAGTTCGGTATTGTAGCCTCTCCATTGCCTTATAAGATAAAAGCCATAAAAAGGAAAACGTCATAACCGAACAATATGGCCTAAAAACTACAAATACTTTTGTATGACTGAAGAGTTACATATCTGTAATACATTTTGTGCATACTGTGTTATGTTATCCACAGCTAAACTGATTTGTATTATAAAATTTCCTTTTTAGTTTTTAGTATACTCTTACAACTAACTGATAAGGCAATTTATTCTAACTTACTAGTATTTGTACATAAACTCCTATTCCATGTATATCAAATGATGCGCGTGATTTCGTAGACTCTGTGTGTATATTTCTATAATATTACATAGAATACTTATAACTTTTTAAATAATTTTTTGCTACAATCCTAAATGTATGCAACTTTTTAATGTAAAATCGCAAGGTTTGCCGTAAATTATCTAACGGTAAATAAATTAATGAATTAAAAAATGATATATAAATTGGAATCGTGTTTGTATCTTTCCTATCAAGAACTAATATGCAGCAAAAAAGTGTTTGCTACACTGTATGGTGACACAAAAAAAATGACCAAATTAATCAAACATTATTTAAAATTATTTGGTACAGTTTCAAAATACCAGATGTCGTATATCGTAAAAAAAAAACAGTAACAATAAGTGTAGGCTACATATTAGTAGGTTTCAAGTAATAGAAAGTTTATAAGCTTTCAAACGTTTTATTAATTATACAAACTGCTTATTATATTTGAGGGTATTTTGTTAATCATTTGAACTGCAAGGCGGGGGGGGGGGGGGGGCTAGGGGAGGAGTGGGGCGGTCGTGGAAGTCTACACAAGATATGTTATTGTGGGTGACCAAAAAATACGAAACGGAAAATTGCGCACAATACAGTAAGCATGAGAGTTTTATTTTTTTTTTCAAGACGAAATTAAAGAATGGCACCATGTAAACTGAAGAATAATAAGATATCTACCCAGTATGAACATATTAATGTGTATCAGTATAATGGATTTTTATTTGCACATTTTTCTGTTGGCGCAATTTTCTATTTGCACATTTTTCTGTTTGCGCGATTTTCTCTTTCCGCAATTTTCTGTTTGCGCAATTTTCTGTTTGCGCAATTTTCTGTAGCGCATGTTCAGTTAATGCAGTTTACTATTAAACATTATTTAGGTAAGGTGCTAGTATGCTTGATATAGATTAAGTTCTATCTCAATTGGCGAATAAAAGCGTAATTGAAGATATTGGAAATTGCTGCTATAATTGAGATATTCTCTGCTTATGTCATTCTACAAAGTGCTAAATAAAAAGCGAACTACATTTAACCCTTGGGAAAAAAAACTGGAACTATTGCGTAATGTAAACCAAAGTTCGGCTATGTACGCTTTAGTACATACGTTATCTACCTAGATCAACATTTTATATTTTTTTTAACTGTGTGTTTGAACACAACCTTAACCGCAGATTTTTAAAATAAATTTCAGTCATAAAGTCGAATTTAAATAAATTTTCACAATAATAAAAAATGAATAGATTTATTTAGTAATTTTATAAAAATTAGAATGCATTCGGAAAAATCTACGGCACAGAATTTGAAAACATTTTGTGTTCTTGATATTGCCCACTAACAGAAGTGCTAAAATACTTAAATTTCCTCTCAAAGTTCCAGTTTGTGTTGTATAAGAGGTTTATAATTCGACATTATTTAAAAAAAACCTGTAATTGCAAAGTATGAATTAGCTATGTAATTTTAAAGAAACTATATGTTAATTTTAGAAAGGCACTTTTAAATCTATATTTTTTTTGGTATAAAATAAATGTCTCAACTGAAAAATAAAATATTTTTATAAACATTACATCATATCGTTTAAAAAATTAAATAATTGAAACAGCAGTTACGTAATTACAATCAGTACATTACTATTGTTTATTTATGTTTTTTAAAATATATTTTCCACAGAACTCATGTATAATCAATGTCTATCAATTGTCATAAACCAGTTAAAGCTTGGATCAAAATTTTGGACCTGACAACAATGTATCATACAAAATCATCCTATTGACGTACCTGTGGATCAAGGGCACTGAACTCAATCTTCAGCACTGCCCCGCCCACTTTTTACCTCTCATAACCTATCCACATCAACTTTACTATCTCCAAATGACAGGATTACTGATGTAGGGTGTAAATAACAGGAGGGGGCGTATTTCTGCCAGGGAGCATCTTAGGGGAGTAATTGAGAGGAGGGGGGGGGTATGATTCTATGAGTAAAAACTGGGAGAGGGGGATGACCGGGGGCAATGGACGGGGTAATGTCCAGCTCCGTGTACAATGTTCACCATCATCTTTTCCCGTTACACAAGACACAGAGATCAGATGAAGTAGAGTTAATCTGTTGCAATGACCTTGGCATACAAGGGGATGGTGTGGCCAACACTATGCCCAACGCCTTTGTTTCCCTAACGTGAGTCAAGTACCTATCAATGCTGGTATGTAGAATGTTAAACTGGAACAACGTGTTTTATATTTCTTAGATAAACCCGTTGTTCTACTTCTATCCTCCATGTACTGTCTTATGAGTATGGTCTATAGTGGCAAAAATCGGATACAAAACAATGTTTGAACATAAAAGATATGACATCACTGAACGACTTTGTACTTTTTCACAAAATATTATACGTTTTATTTTACGTTATGCTATAGCTCACTTCGTCGCAAATCGAACTGATTATGTTGAAACTGATTTTCGCAATGTATGCTTAAGGTGTTCTCCCAAAGTAAACACTCTTGATGTAAGTTTCCTTACTGCACTGAAAGGAACCTCTACATTTATTAAAGAAGAAAAAACTGGAACTTTGAGTCATTTAGGCCAAAGTTCGGTCTCATAACCTTAGGATGAGCTATTTACCTACACCGACTTATATAATTCTATTTAAACTGTAATTTTTAACAAAGAGTTAAAATAACAAAAAAGTAGGTGTTTACTAAATATTAATAAAGAAAATTAAATTACTTTGTATCTTTAGATAAACCGTCGTAATTTCTATAGTGAGATTTTTACCATTGTTTATTGTGATCTGATATGCATTCAGAAAAATCTAGGGCACAGCATGTGAGAACGTTTGACGGCCTTGACATTATCCAGCTGCATACAGACATGTCTGAAAAAACTTTGACTACCTCGCTAAAGTTCCAGTTTCTGCTGTATATAAGTCTTACTCAAGTTTGAATTCGACATTATTAAATCAAGCTACAGTAATTGTAAAGTTTTTAATAAAGTAATACATTTTTAAAAAATGACTTTTCATTCGTTTTTTTTATAAAAGGCCTACATCATATTTTTTTTTAACGATTGATAAAATAATTATATAAAATTTAATAATATTGTTTAATATTACAAAGATTTATGCAGCAGTTTAAAAATGTTGTCAACTAGTTCATTATTGTTAATAGTTTTTAAAAAGTTAATTTTCATTAGAGCTAATGTATAATTTATTTGTAATTGTCTACTAGCTATCCTAAAGCCTTGTATGCCAAAATAAAAATGTTGGACCTGACAACTATTTCTCTTGCAACAACGGTCCTGGTACTGATGTACTTGTGGATCAAACGCCCCAAACTCAACCTCCCTCCCTGCCCCACCCGCCCCTTGCCTCTACTCGGACATTTACTCACACTAGAGGAAAATCCAAGGTCACAGTTCAAGAAATGGCACCAGGAATTTGGGGATATTTTCAGGTCAGTTTTTTCTTCTTCTTCGCTTTAATTGTATATATAGGATGCGATTTCCTTCACTATAATTAAGAAATACTTGTTGACATTTAATGTGCTGTATGGCGTGCTAACTTAGACTTAGCCTGCTTTTCCATCTGGACGGGCTTTCACTGTCTTTTTTCAACCAAGAACATTCTGCAAGGCTGCGTTTTTATGTTTTGATTGCCGATCCTAGATGGGCGACTGTCCCCTGCTAACGAGCTTCAACTGCCCGGGTACCAAGCTCAGGTCATTAGGGTTAGAAATCGTAAGCTCTCCTTGCGGACCACGGGAAAAACATTGTGTTAATTGTGGATTACAAATTGTTATAATTTGTAAGAGTTATCATTTCATATTCAATTTTGTCATTGTTATTTTAAAATTATTTAAATAAATAAAAATATTAATTAATTGATGGATGGTACTCAATGAGTTACTAGAGAAAAAAAAGAATAGGGGCAAAATCTTGAAAAGCTGTTGAAGGATATTACAGTTTGGGGTGAGGATAAAAAATTCCTCTATAGAGCTAGCGATCCGCTAAAATAAAGTTCATATCTTTCTTGACCTCGGTATATGAAGGGAAGGTGTGATCAAAACTATGCCCAGCCGCCTTTAATTACCCAACGTAAATAAGGTACCCATCAGAGCTGGGTAGACTCTGGGACGTCCTACATTCACAAGCCCAAACCGAGATCCGAACTCGATACCTTCGGGCTAGCAGTCAAACGCTCTACCATTCGACCACGCCTTCAAACTGGGGATGAGGATTTACCCTGCAAATATTTAATTCTCTAACTAGATTTAACATACGCAGCGTACCCTTTAAATCCATTTTTAAAATCCACCAGCCTGTACATGGGAGGTAAATTGGTTGTTGTTGTGTGTGGCTATGAGTTGATCAAAGAACTTCTGCTCAAAAGGGGAGATGAGTTTAAATATCGTCCAAGGTTGGCTATGAGTGAGGTGAGTGAATAATAGATTGATCACGCAATTAAACTACAATTAATATTGATTTTATAATTTAAAACTTTATCACAATTAAATTGTTTCGAACAATTTAGTCTTGCTATTTTTAAGTATTTTTTTTTATGTATAATCGAAAACAGGCCAGCCCCTTACCAAAAAGTGGCGTCATTTTTTCAAACGGCCACAACTGGAAGGAACAAAGAACAATTTCTCTGCACATTCTGCGAGACTTCGGCATGGGGAAAAACATACTCGCGGACAAAATCTTGGAGGAAGTTGAATATTTCCTGAACCTGCTTGAGGAAACCCAAGGCCAGCCTTCAAGCATCAGAGTCGCCACCAACATCAGCACAGCTAACGTCATCAGTTCCATTGTGCTGGGTCACAGGTTCGACTACAAGGACGAGACATTGCGAGAGTTGATCACCAGGTTTAATGAAGTTATTAGCGATCAACATTTCAACGGTGTGGCTAATTTTTTTCCATTCCTGCGTTTTTTACCAGGTGATATGTTTCACTTTAAAAAGACAATCAAAGCTAATGAAGACATTATGAAGTTAATGAAAAAGTTCGCTCATCTGAAAGGCGTAGAGCAGTACAAGGAAGACAATATCGACAACCTGATCGCAGCGTATGTGCATGAGTTAAATGACAGGAAAGCCAAAGGAAAGGAGACATGCCTGAATGAGGACGAGCTTGTGAAAACAGCTTACGATTTGTTTATTGCAGGTATGGAAACCACGAGTACAACAATCACTTGGTGTTTGTTGTATGTTCTTAACAACCCGGAAGTCCAAGCTAAAATTTACAGAGAGTTAAAAGAACAAGTTGGAACAAACAGATCTCCGTGTATACAAGATAAACCAAATCTGACATATCTCAACGCTGTCATTAAAGAAACACAAAGGCTAGCCAGCCTTGTCCCACAGAGTGTAACACACACGTGCACAGAAGATGTGACCGTCCGAGGCTACACCATCCCTAAAGGAACTTACATCTCACCCAACCTGGACTCTGTCTTACATGATCCAAAGATCTGGGGCGATGACGTCATGGAGTTTAAACCTGAAAGATTTATAGACCAAGACGGGAAGTTAAAAACTCCTGAAGAGTTCATCCCCTTCTCGATAGGTCGTCGTGTCTGTTTGGGCGAGTCCCTGGCTGTCATGGAGTTGTTCCTGTACCTCTCATCAATCTTCCACAGGTTTGAGATTCTGCCAGAAACTCCGGGCTCGCCGCCTCCAATCAAATACAAGTTTGGTTTTGTCGCCTCTCCCTTAGCTTATAAACTAAGACTTGTAAAAAGATGTTGATGGGAAATATTTTATTAACTTTATGACTTTATGAAGGGTTAACAGATACAAAATTTTGTGATGATTTTTTAACTAAACAACTAACTTACTGTTCTTCTGTATGTCGATGTAATGTAAGGCACTTACAATTGAGCTAAATTTAAAAAAAATTAGCTTAAAAATTATTTCAACACTGATAGCAAAAGTTTAATTTAGTTGTTTGTCCTGTAAAAACGATTTTTGTAAATAAAACAAAAGCTTTATATAATTGATAATAATATTATTGTATTTTAAATGTAAATAAAAAAGTGTGTATGAAAATTTATATTTTTATTTCTTTCAATTGCTGTGGTGGTGAACTGCTTTAACAACTGTTGTTCGGGTATTCATTTAGCCACCCATATGAGTTTTTTTTTTCAAATAGGCTCATCTCATTTTACATGAAGCATTGCGTGCGAGAACATTATTTTCTTACTGACAAGCTATTTTATATAAATAGCTTTTATATAACTCAAGCACGAATCAGTAATATCCATTCATTTATTATATTTTTATGTTATTTTATGTTTTTAAAAATCAATATTGAAAATAAAAATGTCAAATCTTTAAAGTGTTAATCTGCAAATTTTTAATACTCTACAATAACGGTTTTTTTTTCTTGTCCAATCAACGTCGATATTTTCATGTATTTTTGAAAGCTTACATTACACTTGACATATATCACTTGTTGTCAAATTGATGTAAATGTTGGGATGTATTGCTAACAGCTTATATTATACTTGACATCTATCACGTGTAATATAGAAATAAATGTTGCGATCTATTGTTGACAGCCTACATTATACTTGACCTGTTCAGAGTTTCTTCCAGGCATCTCTTCGGGGGGGGGGGGGGGGGGGGGCTAAGACCCCCCCCCCCCCCCCGGAAAAATTTACCGCCCCCCACACCCGGACGAAATGAAATTTATATAATTTATATAGAAAATATATAGTTTTAACAGTGTCCGCCCCCCCCCCCCCGAAGAAAGTTTACCGCCCCCCCACCGAAAATTTCAAGTGCCCCCCCCCCCCCCCGCCGGAGAAAAAAGTCTGGAAGAAACACTCGCCCTATTGCTTTATGTTGTCAGCTGTCACCCAACATCCGTAAGATGAATTATCTGCTAAACTGTGTTTAAAAAAAAGTAAACCGATTACGTGTTAATTTAATTTACTAATTAAAATCAAAATGTAATATGGCTGTATCAGATTAAGTTATAATTAAAATATTAATTACAGTTTAAAAGTATCAATTTATTATGAATATGGGTCCTGTATGTTTTTGTGATATGGGTTTTTACTTTTTAAGTATCTACTTAAAATTCGGTTGTACTTTTACCAGCACACATGTAGATAAGTCAACATGTGTATCTAAATGTTTTTTGTTTTGCAAGTATACCGCCTGATAGACATGACAACAAACACCGTGAAAGATAAACCCTATAAATAATGGTTATATCAAGGTCAGCTATACAAACATATTTGTCGTGACTTTTTAGAATAAAGTGACCCATCAGTAATGTATCATCTACATCAAAAGCTGCTCTAGACAGAAATAGAACTCTAATCTTCGGGCATTTGTCGCATTTTGGCAACTGTCCATTCGGGCATTTGTCGCATTTTGGCAACTGTCCATTCGGGCATTTGTCGCATTTTGGCAACTGTCCATTCGGGCATTTGTCGCATTTGGGCAAGTGTCATTTCGGGCATATGTTGTATTTGGAAAAGTGTCGTGAATTTGCCGTATACTCGATATTCTCAGAAGATCTATACGCAAATGTGATCAAGATAAGTGATCTATACGGAAATTGATCTACATAAGTTATCTATACGGAAATTGATCTACATAAGTTATCTATACGGAAATTGATCTACATAAGTTATCTATACGGAAATTGATCTACATAGACATAGAAGTACTAAGCATGATTAAGACCAGACAATAACTAGGTGGGATGGTTGGATGACAACACCGTTAAAGTTTGTTGAAATTCTACATGAGTAGCGGTATATTTCATACAAATTTGTTAACGTTTAAGTAATATTTCTAACTATGAAAAAGAAAAAGAAAATTGGAATTAACATTTTGCATGAATAAGTTTTATATCGAAAGTTTAAGTGAAAGTCAAAAACTATAATAGCGTAAGGTCATGACCTCGCTTGTCCTATGGTTTAGGTCAGCGCTGCATAACGTTGTAGTGAAAGCAGTTTAGAAATCTGGTCATGTTTACACATGATAGTGGAACACCCGTCGTTTTGAGAATGTCATATCAGGCTGTATTTCTTGCATCTAGTTCATTGGGGGAAATGACTCATTTTAATTTGCATACTGCAGGCGCCTGCAGATAAAACACATACACATACCTGCACTCAGACATTCACATATACACAAATTCTGTTTGCATGCGCAGGGATATCTCGGCCATATCACATTAAAAAGTAAACACCTTTCAGAGCTACTGTAAAACTCATAAAATATTGGATAGAATTGCAGCGAGTTTTTTGAGGTCCCATATACCTTCAGGTTTGACAGGGTACCTAACTGCTATTTGAGGCCAGAGATTTTCAACATGTTTGTTGTGTAACAGGGTTAAAATTTACTTCGATTTTATGTTTAGAAATTAAGCGCACGTATATATCTTTCACAGTGGTGGACAGGGTCACTGAGACATCGAAAAAAATCACGGTGGGACGACAGGTAAAAGCCAGTTGGTTCGCCATTTTATTTTAGCCAGTTAAAAGTACAACACACCAGCGTACGTCATTTCTAGAAAACTGGAACTATGAATGACCTAGGTCACCATTACGCAACCGTCGACATACGTTTTATCGCCTACATTTTATGTCTGACAAATAGTGCAGGGAGTTCAAGCTAGGCTGGTATCAGGCGCATTTATGTGGGTTAGTTTAGGGTCAGGGAATAACTTGAGAGGGGTAAACTATTTCTACGAAATTTTATTTTACCTTTTGATGTAAAATTTTCTGAATATGTCTTAAAATGTATTACAAGTAATTAAAGTCGTTTTTCAAACATAATTTTTATTTTATTTTTTTAAACATGATATTACTTTAAACAAAAGAAATTTTCTAAAATTCTTACAGTAGTTTTAAGCACCAATAGCCTTTTCTTTATTATGAAGACTAAAATATTTTAATAGAATATTATTAGAAAATCTTAACACAAAAAATATTTAAAAGTAAATTTCCTCAAAATCTTTCAGAAATGACTTAGTAGATTTTGCAAATGGCACCCTTAACTACTAAAAAATATGAAATAAAATAAATAAAAAACCTTTAAGAATAATATTCGCTGAAATTAAAAATGAAACAAACTTGCTTTTAAAATTAATACATTTCGATCTTCATGAGATAATATTTTTAAAAGTCAACACTACATAGCACGTTTTTTTTAAAATTAAGTTCAATTAAAATTGATTAGTTTGTGTTGTTAAGAGCAATTAATTGTTGTTTTTTTACTTTAGTGTACTTTATTAAAAGTTAAAATTATGTGCAAGAGCTTTTTACATATCTATCTATATATATAATTCTCTTCTTCGAGCCGTTAGAAAACAAGCTGCAAACGCTCTCCCTACCTCCCCACCCCTACATGGTTTTAGTGAGCTGTGTTCACTCTAAATGTTTACAAGCAGAGCCAACGATTTTAAACGTAGGGGGGGGGGGGGGGGGGAGGGGGGGAGGGAAGGAAGGGGGGGGGGTATGGTCCTTAACGAGCTACTTATAGTGTTTTAAAGAAATATTTTCAGTGTCAGCGTTGGTACTGTCGAATTCACAAATTATGAATTATTGAAAATTAGAAACAACTAAATAGCGGCGTATGTTATGCCGCGGGCCGGCTCGTATATATATAATTCTCTTCTGGGAGCCGTTAGAGAACAAGCTGCAAGCGCGCCTTTGCAGTCCCCTCTCTTCAATATCACTACCACCCCCACCCCATCCCCACATGATCTGGTGAGCTGTGATTCACTCTAAATGTTTACAAATCGTAGAGTCGGGTTTGTTGACGGCTATTAGGGGCAGATAATTTAGTTTGAAACGATTTTAAACTTACAGGAGGTAACTAAGAGGAGGCTGCTTTCGCGGTGGGGGGGGGGGGGGGTGTAGGGTAGGGGTTGGGGAAAGGGGGGGGGGTTAGTGTTTTAAAGCAAATATTTTCAGTGGCAGCATTGGTACTGTCGAATTCACAAATTATGAATTACTGGAAAGTAGAAAATAAAACAACTAAATAGCGGCGTATGATACGCCGCGGGTCGGCTCGTAGGTTATATTAGGCATAGTATAATTAATGATAAATACAATGTATTTTACTTGGACTCAAACATTGATCAACACAGCCCTTAATTACAGCAATTAGTTCCTACACAACGATAAACATAAACTTGAACTTTAAAAGGAAGTAGGTCAACATGACTCAACGGGTCACAAACTTCTGACCCAGCTGTCGCTCTCAGTAATTGGCGAACATACACCACAGACACCACAGGGGCTGGTGTATCAAATAGGCCAATGTCAGGGTCAGTTAATATAAGATGCGGAGGGTATTATGGGGTTGGTCTACTTGTCGAGACATAGTTTACACTGGTTTTATAAACCTTACTTTGATTGTTTAAAACATAAGATTTCCTACTTGTATTTAAAGAATTGATTACAAGAAATGTACTTTTCTCTTTACTAATGTATTTGTTTACTCACTAAAGGTGTAGAAAAACAAGCCAATGCCTTTCCTGTTCCATAGTCTTAAAGTTTCTTCAGAATGAAAAGACAATCTTTTTGGGTTTGAAACGATTAAACAATATAATTTACTCTACTGTTTACCATATTTTGCTGAAATTACAAAAGACATGTAAACTTTAAAACAACGTCAATACCGTTGCCGTGTACAACATATATACATGTTTTAACGTCTATAACACGCAGATGATTGTGAAGACTTTATAACAGCAGAGCAGTTTAAATCTAGAACAGTTTGTATTGCAGACCGAAACGAGAAAACACAATGCAAAAACATAATGTTCAATAAGAAAAGGTTAATTAAACACAATGTACTCAATAAAAGCATATCTAGTAATTAAAACTTGATTGTGTTTGTCTCTGCTACTTTTCTACATGTCGGAATGCCTTAGTGACGTACGCAAATTATACAACTCTGATGTTTTATTGCATACAATTAATGTAATTACACCACGGCAAAACACACAAAAATGAAAACAAACTCTTTAAGTGACCATAGATCAAACTAGTTACTGTAAGAATACAGCAAAAATTATAGCCACTCAAAGTTTGACAAAAATAATACACATAAAAAGTCACGGTATCAAAATGAAACAAAATTTACTTTTGTTTTAGGTCAAAACTAAATTTATAAACCCCTTAACCAACTGGGACTCTAAGTTGTCTTAGCAGCTAAATAAAATTCTTGGTATTACTTGGGCGTTAAAACCGGGCCATAGCATTTCAAAAACTTGCTATGGCCTTAACCTATATTTAGTGCACATAAAGTAAAATAAACTTTGCAAAGTTTTTTTTCCTGCTTGTATTTCAGATAAAAAGGACAGCTACTTCGCCCAAAGTTTATGAGCATACGCTGGTTAGACGGTAGGTTACATACGTTAGCAAAATACACGACATTTATTTTGTTTCAACATGACGTAGTTAAATTTAATTTATGAACTGTAATTTTAGTTAAAGTTTGTAATATTTACATTACATTTTAAGGAGATTCATACTTATTTCATAAGTTGAATAAAATATCCCATATTAAGTTTGATTCATTTATTTCAGTTCACCGAGGCGCTTTGACTGGCTGTAAGACGCAAGATGTTAGACTTGACCACCATTTTCTCTCTGACCGCAATCTTTCTCCTCACTTATCTGTGGCTGAGACGACCTAAACTCAACCTTCCACCATGTCCCACCCGCCCCTTACCTTTCCTCGGAAATTTACTCGCACTGGAGGAGAACCCAAGGTCACAGTTCAGAAAATGGCAGAAGGAGGTGGGAGAGATTTTCACGTGAGTTGGTTTATATAGATAGAAAATGTTTACTCCACGCAAAACTGTTTCCGTATATTTAGAACATGTCAATGTTACGTATTGTTGCACTAGATTTTGTCTATATGGAGATGCACCAAACATTCAACTATTTAAAACATGCTTCCTACACATCAATATGCAATTGTGAATTAATAACATGTGAGGTTAAAGGTTAGTTTTAAGCGAGCAGTATCTTAACAAAAACTTTACCAAAACAAACAACAAAAAACGGATTTAATGTGGGGGGAGGGTGACATTTTAAAAAATAATTTTAAAAAGTTGCATATAAAATGTATGAACTAAATCGCCTGTTCTCGTGTTAAAAACAACAGCTCAATTGGTGAATAAATGTATCAGAGATGTAACTGTATACATCCCGACTAAAAAAGAGGCAAATTTTTTAGAAAGGGGGGGGGGGATACATTGACTGCGGCAAGTTTCTTAAACAATCCACCATACTTCGAATTTATCTTTAGTTAAACATTTCGAAGAATTGAAACATAAGTTTAAAACAATTACATCTAGCCATCTCTGATAGATGGTGCGACATAAGTTTTTCCGCCTAAACTTTTTGCCCGATTACAAGACTCCCTCCATACTTCGAATTAGAGAAAGTAAAAATCTTACCTAACAATAAGTACTAAAGAGTCTAAAAACTTAAAATTTTAATGGCTTTAGTTCCGTCTATAGATTTATTTGATATATGCGAAATCTCAAATTAATTAATATTATTTTGAGAAATTGTTTACAAGGTAAAATGTTTATAAATTTTGTGTTTAGATTATTTTTTTAAAAATAATACTTACGCATGCAATTGTATCCTGTTTCATTGTTGTATGCTAGTAAACACAACTAGCATGTTTTGTACTGTAGGCTTATGTCTAATAATTATGTCAAAGTAAGCATTTCTTATTTTCCCTTTGGATGTGTGATTTTTATCAATTTTTACAAAGAAATTAACTTTACGTTTGTGTCAAAAGATAGTTTAAGTGTTTCTGTCATTGAAATTAATTATATTGTAGAGATATTTTATATCTCATTAAGTTGAAAGTTGGGTATACAAACCATACTTGCATTTGTATTGAAAACTGTGGTTATGTCCTAGGCTACAAACAAATAATTACATTTGAAGTAGGTGAAACTTGGGTGATAAAATTCAACCAAAGACACAAATACGGACACAGGGAAATGTTTGATTCGATTCTATCTGTTAAAAGTTAAGTGGTCAAAGGAGATGGGTTATCTGTTAACTTACGTAACTCTATGACTGTTTTGTTTTACCAGCCTCTACATGGGAAGTAAGCTTGTAGTTGTTGTGAGTGGTTATGATCTGATTAAGGAACTATTCCTAAAGAGGGCACATTTGTTCTCAGATCGTCCTCAAGTTGCATTTGATATGGTAAGATGAACCGCTGCAGATTTTTAAGCTTTTTTTTTGTAGAATAACTATAAGATTTTTACATGACTGTAATAATGCCTTATTTTCTGTTTGTGAAATTTAGGTTAATAAATTTCCTCAAAGTGGATTAGCGTTCTCAAATGGCCACAAGTGGAAGGAGCAGAGAACCCTCTCCTTAAAAATTCTGAGAGATTTCGGCATGGGTAAAAATGTAATGGCTGAAAAAATTCAGGAAGAAGTTGCTCATTTCCTTGACCTGTTGGCTAAGCTTGAAGGTCAACCGTCAGACATACGAGTAGCCACCAACATCAGCACCTGTAACGTCATCAGCTCTATCGTGTTGGGTCACAGGTTCGAATACCATGACCAGCGGCTCCAGGATCTGATTGTCCGTATCACTGCTCTGCTCTCAGACACACAATTTAACGGAATCGTTAATTTTATTCCTTATGTTCGGTTTATTCCCGGTGATTTCTTCCACATTAAAAAAATCAAGAAAACGACGGATGATATTTTGGATTTTTTAAATACTTTCGTTCAAAAGAAAGGAGTCGATGAATACGATGAGAACCATTCAGACAATTTAATAACAGCGTACATTTCAGAACTTAACTCAAAACAAAGTACTAGCCAGCAGACAACGTTAAGTAAAAACGAACTTTTAAAATCTCTGTTTGATTTGTTTATTGGTGGGACGGAGACGACAAGCACTACCATCACGTGGTGTCTCTTATATGTCGTGAACAATCCGGATGTCCAGAAGAAAATTTATGATGAGCTGAAGGAACAGGTAGGGACCAACAGAACACCTTGTATACAAGATAAGCCAAAGCTGATATATCTGAATGCAGTCATTAAGGAAACACAAAGAGTCGCTAGCATTATACCACACTCTGTAACCCACACGTGCACAGAAGACGCCGAAGTCAGAGGCTACACCATCCCTAAAGGAACCTACATCTCACCCAACCTGGACTCTGTCTTACACGATCCTAAAATATGGGGCGATGACGTCATGGAGTTTAAACCTGAAAGATTTATAGACCAAGACGGGAAGTTAAAAACTCCTGAAGAGTTCATCCCCTTCTCGATAGGTCGTCGTGTCTGTTTGGGCGAGTCCCTGGCTGTCATGGAGTTGTTCCTGTACCTCTCATCAATCTTCCACAGATTTGAGATTCTGCCAGCAACTCCAGGCTCTCCCCCTCCTATAGATTACAAATTCGGTATTGTTGCATCGCCAGCCCCTTACCAACTTAGATTCTTACTAAGGGGTGTGAACGGCTTTGCTTTGAAAATCTAAAAAAACGTTTACTTAAGCTTTATAATGATCTTCTTTAGTGTTTACAAATACATTTTATGACTGTAATGTTAGGTAACGTTACTGATACTATATTATCGCACGTTCAGTTGAAATAAATGTAATTGGTGATGCTTTTTATAAAGTATATTTCTGTTTTCTTCTACAAATAAACCCACCTTGTAAAACCTAAGTTAAGCTAATTGTTCATAATATAATTCAACAGTTTTTTCTAAAATTAATTTTCATTTCCCCTAAAGGGGAAAATTATTTGCTACAGAAATATTGATATGTTAACATTTTTTTTTGTCGCCTTTTATTCGCTTTAATTAAGACCTCAAAGTAATTAGCATGTATCTTACATTGTTGATTGTTTTTATGTGAGATAATCGGGGATTTATTCTACTTCTTCGTTCCTAAATGTAATGTTGTAATGTGAAAGATAATTTTTCCAACACATTCAACTTCTTATGCGCCACATAGGCCATTGACACCCATTTCAGCTTGCATTTCTTTGTCCAACCAATAACAAACTACAAAGCAGCAGTTGGGGTTTCGAACTCAGAATGTAGGCCTAGCTACCATGAGCTTTAACCATCCGACCTTGCCGACCACAGCAAGGATGCGCTTTTTAAATTCTAATTGTCTATATCTAATCTATATACCTAATGTATCGAAATGGTAAATGACGTTGCCATTACATGTGCTTTAAAAACCCGTTTGAAATAGTTTTCATTACGACACATAACATTTTTTGTATACATTTACTTTATTTTCATTTTACATATATTTTTTATAGAAGTCTTTAATTCCTAACATTTGACACTGCGCTCTAATTTTTTAAGGTAAGATTATTGAGTTGTAATACAAGAAAGTGAGAACTAAGGCGTCAGTTTCTGTGGCATTTCACTCCAGCGAGTGAGTGGATTTTGAAATAATGTGTTGGTTTTTTTTAATGGCTACCCCATTACCATAAACAACAAGAAAATACAAACATATTGATTATGTTATGTCAAACACGATATACAAAATTTATTACTCGAATTTCCGGGTTCGTGTGTGAAGGCGCCTATTCTAGATCTAGCTGATTCATTTTTCCCCTCCGGACTGATTCGTTTAAAGGTTATATAAATACTTCTTTTGTTTACATAGTAAAAGATATGACAGACACTGTATATAGAATTTTTTAAAGCTTAAACAGCTTTATTTATTATGTATAAATGTATAATTTAAAAAGTCTATTTTATTTAAATTATATACAAAAAAGAAAATATGTTTTAAATCAAAATATTGCTTTGTAATAAAAATCAGCATAAAATTGTATTATTATTTGTAAATTAAAATAAACCGGGAGTGATCTCCCCTAAACTTTCTCGAATATTCTTATATAAAACAACATGGGATGGGAACTCGGACTATAGACATGATTTTTAATCCATTTTAAATACTTAAAGTTTTAAAAATAGAATAAAATCTCGTAGACAAAAGAATTGCACACCAAGTGAACGCCAAATAAAAAAGTGCATAATAGTGCGCAATATTATTAGTACTTTAAAAATTTTCATTAGTTATTTGAGAAATCGGAAGTAGCGTAAATTACTACTTCCGGTCAATGGAAATTACTCAAAATTTAACAGAAGGTAGAGAATTAGATCTTTTACTTACACTTGAAATTTCATTTATCTATCTGAAATAGTACTCAAGTTATAGGTTTTTGAAAAATTCAAAGTAGAAAAAGTACCACTTCCGGTTATCGGAAATCGCTCAAAAGTTGATACGGATCTACGATTTTGATAAAATACTTATATATGAAATTTCATCAACCTAGCTCTAACGGTACTCAAGTTATCGTGTTTACACACGGACAGACAGACAGACAGACAGACACACAGACATACGGACAGAATTGCAAAGACCAGTTTTTTAGACTGGATTACGCATAAAACCTCTTAATTTTGATAAATCTGGATTGATAATTTTTGCCCGATTAAAATAAGTCCTCTATACTTCGGATGTGATGAAGGAATGAGGTGTAATACGGTGAAAATTGTTAAAATTTCAAGTGATTTTTGTGCACGATTACAATACTTTCTCTATACTTCGTATATACGAGAAAGTAAAACAGAGTATATTGTTATATTTTACTGTTCTAAAACAGCCAAACGTGTTTTTTTAAAATAAAAGTGAATGGTCGTATACTAATACAAATTATTTTAATATTAAATAAAAGAAATGTACATGAGAACTGCAAAAAAAGCTTGCCTTAAATTATGCCATGTAAACTGTGGAATTTTAAACCTTTACTCAAATAGAGACAATTTCAAATGTTTATATGTGTATTAATAAAGTATTTTTCATTAAAAAGTTACGTTTCATGTGTTGTTCTTTCAATAGCTCTGAGCTGAAAAAGGGCAGGTGAAACTGTAAAACCAAACTTGTATTTGATTGGAGGTGGCGAGCCTGGAGTTGCTGGTAGAATCTCAAACCTGTGGAAGATTGATGAGAGGTACAGGAACAACTCCATGACAGCCAGGGACTCGCCCAAACAGACACGACGACCTATCGAGAAGGGGATGAACTCTTCAGGAGTTTTTAACTTCCCGTCTTGGTCTATGAATCTTTCAGGTTTAAACTCCATGACGTCATCGCCCCAGATCTTAGGGTCGTGTAAGACAGAGTCCAGGTTGGGTGAGATGTAAGTTCCTTTAGGGATGGTGTAGCCTCGGACGATGACGTCACGAGGACAGGTGTGGGTAACACCCTGAGGTGTAACGCTAGCCAGTCTTTGAGATTCTTTAATGAACGCGTTTAGGTAAGTCAGGTTTGGTTTATCAGAAATACACGGGGATCTCCCTGTACCAACGTTCTCCTGCAGCTCGTTGTAAATTTTCTCCTGAACCTCAGGATGATGCAAGACATACAAGAAACACCACATTATGGTGGTGTTCGTTGTTTCGGTCCCAGCACCGAACAGATCGTTGATTGTCTTCAAGAGACTTTCCTTGTTCAGATACGTGGGTTCACCGTTTCTTATCTTTGACTTCAGCTCGGACATGTACGCAGAGATGAAACTCTCCCTCACGTTTTTGTCGTCCTCTTCCATGCTCGCCCATGTTTCGTTAACAAACTTGCTGTGAAAATTATAAATGTCTGAAATAATTTCTTTAAGTTTTTTAATGTGAAACAAATCACCTGGTAGGTAGCGTAGCACGGGTATGAAGTTTAACACCGCGTTAAAGTGTTGGTCTTCAAAAATCTCGGCCAGATTCGTCACCAAATTTCTGAATTTCTCGTCATCGTAGTCGAACCTGTGCCCGGAGACGATGGAGCTGATGACGTTGGCGATGCTGACGTTTGTCATGACCCGGATGTCCGTCGGCTCTCCTCTTTGTTCGGCCAACAGGTCCAGGAAATGACCAACCTCCTCCTGGATAGCACGAGCGAGCACGTTTTTGCCCATGCCGAAATCTCGGAGGATCTGTAGAGATAAGGCTCGATGCTCTTTCCAGTTTTGACAGTTATTAAAAATGAGCCCCTTCTGCGGATACGGAGTTGCCTGAAAATTTTGAAAAAAAAATATTGTATGTTTATGAGCTGTATGTAACATTGGTTTGATGATGTCATATCATATTCTGAATCTAATATTATGTTTACATTTCATAAAAACCTCAGCCGTGTGACATTTAGGGATATATTCCAAATAGATAAAAACTTTTTTTTAATATTTGCGTTAAAATTTAAAAGAAAACATCCTATTGGTTTACGATATTCATTTCTACAAATTCTTATCTAGTAAATTAAGACAACTTTTAATAAGCAATATTTTGTGGTGTAGAACAAACTTAAGCAAAAAAAGAACATCTATTTTGACAACGTCTAATAACTTATTATTATATTGGAAAATTAAGTTCTACCCTTATACAAACGCCACATTTTTTTCATAATTTGCTGCTGTGCTGGAACTATAGCGTCCCGACTAACCAGATAGATTCTACGTACGGCCAGTGATAGCAAAAACGAAAGGTGGAATTCATTTATACCTGGTCTATGGCCAGCAGTGGACGATGTGAGAACTCATCCCCCCTCTTGAGCAGAAGTTCCTTAATCAGGTCATAGCCACACACAACAACCACAAGTTTACTGCCCATGCAGAGGCTAGTGGGTACATGAAGAGGTTTTACAGAAAATGTGGGTCGTTAATTGTTGTCAACAATATATTTAATCAAAATGATTCTAGTTGATGAAATGATTAATATTGTATTTTTTCCAGTAAATGTGGATGCTTTTTTTTCATGCTTTTTCTAATTCTGTATTCCACAACATTAAATACACGTCAGTGTTAGTTGTTCTACGATTATCATTTTTAAAAATGTGGTACATGAATTTACAAAACTTTGGCATAGGGTTTATGAAATAAACGATGTGTTCATTGTTTTAAAAGGTTGCTGCTACTGCGTTGTAAGGAATAATACAAGAACATCGGCAAAAAGAGGAAGGTAAACTTTCACTGACCTGTAAATATCTCCCAATTCCTGGTGCCATTTCTTGAACTGTGACCTTGGGTTGTCCTCCAGTGTGAGTAAATGTCCTAGGAACGGTAAGGGGCGGGTGGGGCAGGGAGGTAGGTTGACACTCGGGCGCATAAACCACAGGTAAATGAAGGTAAAAATGGCAGATGCCACCAAAACTATTGTAAGATCGAACATCCTCCGTTTGCAACGATGAATCCCAGTTTGTCAATTCGAGTTTAACTTGACGAAAGCCAACAAAATAAAAAAATAATTCTAATGCACAAGAACAAACACGGATATTTAAGGTCATTTGAAACTGTTTTTAGGAGGGGGGGGGGAAGTTAATTTATAGGTCACCAACCTCAACAGATGGCCAAGTAAACATGTTGTTGGTGTCCTGTATTTCATCTGCCTTGAGCACGAATCGGAAAATATGATGATGACTGGTACAAGACATTCGCCCACGTTACGGCACCATATGTAATAACACCAGAGGGTCTTGTTACAAATACCTCCTCCCATAAACCCGCACACACTGACCAACACATACGTACTTCCATCGCTCACTTTCAGACTGCAATTAGACACAAACACATATTGAAATAGTGTGTTAATTAATTTTTTTTTTTACATTTTTTTATTCCTAACGAGAGGTGTCAGAGGCTTCTCGCACACAATCCCTTTGTTTATATATGTATGTTACAGGAACTTAATATTATTCACATATTCACATGCATAATGCCTAAGGCATACACGTATATAATGGTACATAAACACATAGATGCAGATTTTTAATAAATACAATTACTACATCAAATAACATTAAAATAGTCATTATATATATATATATATATATATATATATATATATATATATATATATATATATATATAATTCAGCAATCTACTTGAATACTATATGATATATAGAGTAGGAGATAATTTAGATACTTGTTTTGTTCATACTTCTTGAAACATTTTTATAACATTGCTTTGATCATTACGTCTTTTAACAAAAACTATGTCAGTCGAAGCTTTCAATTTATGAATTTATCTATAGATATTCCATAATAAACCAGCCAGTTTACAAGACAATCTATAAAAAGTTTTTCACATTTCTAATGTAACAGAACTTTGAGATTTTAGTTATTTGATTTTAATTGTAAGAATTTCTCTTTCTTTTTGATTTGTTGCCTTGACATTAGCGTCGTTTAACGGCTTTAAGCTCATAGGGCAGCGGTGCTATGGTCAGGCCGAACTTGTATTTGATTGGAGGGGGCGAGCCTGGAGTTGCTGGCAGAATCTCAAATCTGTGGAAGATTGATGAGAGGTACAGGAACAACTCCATGACAGCCAGGGACTCGCCCAAACAGACACGACGACCTATCGAGAAGGGGATGAACTCTTCAGGAGTTTTTAACTTCCCGTCTTGGTCAATAAATCTTTCAGGTTTAAACTCCATGACGTCATCACCCCAGATCTTTGGATCGTGTAAGACAGAGTCCAGGTTGGGTGAAATGTAAGTTCCTTTAGGGATGGTGTAGCCTCGGACGGTGACGTCACGAGGACAGGTGTGGGTTATAGCCTGTGGTACAATACTCGCCAACCTCTGAGTTTCTTTAATGACAGCGTTTAAGTAAACCAGCTTTGGTTTATCTTGTAAACAAGGCTTTCTGTTGTTTCCAATCTGTTGCTGTAGCTCGCCGTGAATCTTCTTCTGCACATCCGGGTGGTTAAGGACGAACAGCAGACACCAGAGGATTGTTGTGCTGGTGGTCTCCGTGCCGGCAGAAAACAAATCAGTCACCACTCTCGAGAGGTTCTCTTTGTTTAAATGTGTAGGGACACCTTTGCTCTCCTTAGACTTGAGTTCTAACATGTAAGCTGAAATCAAACTGTCAACGTTGTTCTCATCTAACTCTTCTACCCCTTTCTTATTGACAAAAGAAAATAGAAACTCGCAAAGACTTTTGATGTATTGATTTATCTTCTTAATATGGAACCGATCCCCGGGCAGCAGGTGTAGGAAGGGGATGAAGTTGGTCACCCCGTTGAAATGGCTGTCGGTTAAAATTGCCGTCAGTTTGGTCACCATGTCTTGAAAATTTTCATCCTGGTAGTTGAACCTGTTGCCTAAGACGATGGAGCAGATGACGTTAGCGATGCTGATGTTCGTGACTATTTTAATGTCCGACGGCTTGCCCTCTTGTTCAGCCAACAGATCCAGAAAATGATCAATTTCCTCCTCAATTTTCTCGGCCAATCTATTTTTGCCCATTCCGAAATCTCGCAGAATGTTCAACGCCACTGTTCGCTGTTCTTTCCAGTTCTGGCCATTAGAGAAGATGACACCTTTCTGAGGGAATGGGGTCGCCTACAAAACAAAAAATATTATTTATGAAAACGAAAATGTTTTCGTGTTCAAGCATAAATTAAAAATAAAACAATGTCTGGTGACTGCGACGGAAATCGTGAGCTTGAATTAAAAAACATAACTTTCTAAATCTTATATAGTTTAAATACCATGTTTGCGCCATACATTTAGATCCAGTTTATCTTCTGTTTCAGATAAAGGCTTTTGGCTAACCATAAGATAGCAGTCAATTGAAAGGGATATTAATGCCTGCATAAAGGGATGGGTCTAGCATACTCTGAGAAGGGAAGAGGTTAAAATTGTGAGACAAGCTTTAGACTGGAACTCCATGGGGGAAGAGAAAGTAGGCCGGCCAAGGCAATGCTGGAGAAGGTCAGTGGAAAGAGAAACTCGGGCTGCCTGGATTACGTGGGCGAAAAAAAGATGATACCTGCCCAAATACGAGTCCGGTGGAGAGGTCTGGCTGAAGTCCTTTGCGTCTTAGAGGCTACAAAGGAACAAGTCCTCAGCGTTTACAATCATTTGTAAATAAATTGTAAATCTATCTATCTATATATATAATTCTCCTCTTCGAGCCGTTAGAAAACAAGCTGCAAACGCTCTCCCTACCTCCCCACCCCTACATGGTTTTAGTGAGCTGTGTTCACTCTAAATGTTTACAAGCAGAGCCAACGATTTTAAACGTAGGGGGGAGGGGGGGGGGAAGGAAGGGGGGGGGGTTATGGTCCTTAACGAGCTACTTATAGTGTTTTAAAGAAATATTTTCAGTGTCAGCGTTGGTACTGTCGAATTCACAAATTATGAATTATTGAAAATTAGAAACAACTAAATAGCGGCGTATGTTATGCCGCGGGCCGGCTCGTATATATATAATTCTCTTCTGGGAGACGCTAGAAAACAAGCTGTAAACGCGCTCCCTACCTCCCCGCCCCTACATGGTCTTGGTGAGCTGTATTCACTCTAAATGTTTACAAGCAGAGCCGGGTTATGTGACGACTATTAGGGGCAGATAATTTAGTTTAAAACGATTTTAAACGTGGGGGAGGGGGGGGGGGGAGGAAGGGGGTGAGGGGGGAAGGAAGGGGGGGGGGTTATGGTCCTTAACGAGCTACTTATAGTGTTTTAAAGAAATATTTTTCAGTGGCAGTGTTGGTACTGTCGAATTCACAAATTATGAATTACTGAAAAAACAACAACTAATAGCGGCGTATATTATGCCGCGGGCGGCTCGTAAATTATATTTCGCTTCGTTTCGCTGCGAGAGGGGGAAGGAGGCCGTAGATCTTTCTTTCTGGGAGGCGAGGGGGGGGGGATGGTAAGTGCCCTTCTAAAGGTATGCCTGAAAGTAACTCTGACTATTTGATGTGATTTGATGTGATGTGATGTGATGTGATATGAACTGATGTCATGTTATGTCATGTCATGTCGTGTCGTGTCGTGTCGTGTCGTGTAGTTTCGTGTCGTGTCGTGTCGTGTCGTGTAATGTAATGTAATGTAATGTAATGTAATGTAATGTAATGTAATGTAATGTAATGTAATGTAATGTAATGTAATGTAATGTAATGTAATGTAATGTCAAGTCATGTCATGTCATGTCATGTCATGCCATGTCATATCATGGTTACCTGGTCAACCGCCAGCGCTGGACGGTCCGAGAACTCCTCACCACGTTTGAGCAAAAGTTCCTTGATGAGATCATAACCGCACACTACGACCACCAGCTTGTTGCCCATGTACAGGCTAGAAAGTAAAGGATGCTTCTAGTCAGTCTTATGGTCAACATAACAGGCTAGAAAGTAAAGGATGGTTTTAATCAGTCTAATGGTCAACATTACAGGCTAGAAAGTAAAAGGTGGATTTGTCAGCATTACTAGATGAAAACTGGTGGCTACTTCTTATGTGCCTGAATATCTAAGCTCGAAATTTCTAGTAGATGAGGATCATTAACTGTGGACAACAGCCAGAGACGTATCTAGGCGGAGTGCATTTTGTAAATACTCATATATATATATATATATATATATATATATATATATATATATATATATATATATATATATATATATATATATATATATATATATAAATATAGTTGAAATTATTATACCTGAAAATATCCCCCAATTCCTCGCGCCATTTCTTGAACTGTGACCTTGGATTTTCCTCCAGTGTGAGTAAATGTCCGAGTAGAGGTAAGGGGCGGGTGGGGTAGGGAGGTAGGTTGAGTCTTGAACGTTTGAGCCAGAAGTAGGTCAGGAGAAAGATGGAACTAGCCAGGATGAATGTTGTCAGGTCCAGCATCTTGTACTAGCATCAGACACGATATTTCGTCTTACGAGGATTAATTTATTAAAAAAAAACAACTGATGTTACAAATTAAAACAGTAGAATCTATACATATTCATATGTCAAATTTAATCTAAGAACGTCACACTTTTAAATTTCATTTAATCATCAAACCCTTATTGTCAAAAGGATGTCTATATCTTAACTACGCCCCCCTCCCCCACCTCCAACCACAATTAACCATAGATAGATTGATCAACGTATTTTTCAGAGGTTTTTTTTTTTCAATAAAAATACAATATATAAGAAACCCCTCTTACGTAACTATCTAAATCCCCTACAGTCTTCGTGGCATATGTCCTAACAACTATTTAACCCCTGTCTTGTGACGTCAGTAATAGACGACCTACTTACTTATTTCCTTGGCTGGTACCACAGATGTGTTAAAAACATTAAGCTGTGCTTTATTTTAAAACAAGACAAAAAATAAAAGACACTCCTATCTGTTTGGTTGAAATCAGCAGTGTAAGTGGTGTACTTTACTACGCTGATTGTACAATAAAACACACTTATATAGAGGGAAACAACTGAGCTGTAGCAGGCAAAGTTGACAGCACATCCACACACCAGCTGGTAAACCAAAAACGTAACGTCTGGGCCGGTGTTATCTGTTTACAGGCTAAAATCAAGGTCGCGAACAGCGCTACAAGCCTCCCCGTCCCTTCCACGCTCTTAAAATATCTTTACGTGTTAAATACAGAGATTCGACATTTCGCCAAAAACTTTCGATTTGCCCCCCCCCCCCCCCCCAGACTTTTTGCACCTCTTAAAAGACAATTTAACACTCGAATTAATCACTTAATTAAGTGGATTTATCATTTTCTCTATATATGTTGCTATTTTTTGCCTTGGTGTCACCCCACTAAATGGTGTCCCCCGGTGCGGCCCCCCTCCCGCCCCCCCCCCCCTCGCTACGCCTCTGATGCCGCCAAAACTATTGTAAGATTGAATATCCTCCGTTTGAAACGATCAATGTTATCCCAGTTTGTCCAAGTTATCGAATTCTAACAGAATAGAACAAGTAAGTAAAAAGTCTAGTGACAATTTAAGCGCAATTTCCTTATGTTATCTATAACAATTTTAATTTTTGGTGACCGAACAAAAGGATATTTTTTTTGTGCTAAAAAAAAGACAACTATATTAACCTGTATCAACGGAAATAGTTTTATTTTAACTAGTAGGCCTACAATGCTCAGTTTAAAAAAAGTAATAAATATTTTTTTGTGACCGAACGAAAGGATATTTTTGAAAATTTTCTTCGGCAATATTGTTCTAAATTATGGCAGGAATCGATTGGTAAATGTTTCAAGTCGCTAAGTGGTCTGTTTATCGAGATATGGAGCGAAAACTGCATTTTTTCGAGGGTTATTTTTTGGCTTTACCGGGAAATCCAGGAAGGAATTCCGGGAATTTTTTTGGCCCACAATCATCCTCGGAACTTGTTTAACAAATTTGCTTTTGGAACTAGTCCTCGATATTGCTTCGTTGAAGAGGAGATACGACTTGAAGCTGCGGACACACATCCATCCATCCATCCATCCATCAACAGAAATGACGAGTTAATAATCGCAATTGTCCAGTATGGAAATTGCGCTAAAAAAATCTAATGCACAAGAACACACACGGATATTTAAGGTCAATTGAAACTGTTTATTTTTTCCTTTGGGGTTTAATTTATAGGTCACCAACCTCAACAGATTGTTTAGTAAATATGTTGATGATGTCCTGTATTTCCATCTGCCACAAGTTTCTTGGGCACCAACCGGTAAATATGATTTTTACTCGTACAAGACATTGGCCTGCGTTACGGCACCATATGTTATAACACCTGAGGGCTTTCTTACAAATACCTCCTCCCATAAACCCCCACACACTGACCAACACGTGCGTACTTCCATCGCTCACTTTCAGACTGCAATTAGACACACACACACACACAAATTGAAATAGTGTTTTAATTATTTTTTTACATTTTTAAAAAATTCCTAACGAGAGGTGTCAGAGGCTTCTCGCACACATTCCCGTTGTTTATATATGTATGTTACAAGAAGTTCATATTATCCATATGCATAATGCTCAAAGCATGCACTTATATAATTGTACATATACACATAAAAGCAGTTTTGGTAACGAATACAAATACTGCATCAAATTACTTTAAAATAGTCATATATATATATATATATATATATATATATATATATATATATATATATATATATATATATATATATATATATATATCAGCAGTCTACTTGATTACTAAATTAATATAGAGTAGGAGAGAATTTAGATACTTGTTCCCTTCATACTTCAAGAAACATTTTTTTAACATTGCTATAATTGTTACGTCTTATAATAGAAACTATGTCAGTCGAAGCCTTTAATTTAAGAATTGTATCTATTGATATCACATAATAAACCAACCACTTTACAACAGAATCTTTGAAAAGCTCATTACAAGTCAAATGTTACAGAATGTTTGATATTTTAGTTATTTGATTTTAATTGTAATTATTTTTTTTTTATTTGTTGCCTTGACATTAGCGTCGTTTAACGGCTTTAAGTTCATAGGGCAGCGGTGCTATGGTCTGGCCGAACTTGTACTTGATTGGAGGGGGAGAGCCTGGAGTTACTGACAGAAACTCAAATCTGTGGAAGATTGATGAGAGGTACAGGAACAACTCCATGACAGCCAGGGACTCGCCCAAACAGACACGACGACCTATCGAGAAGGGGATGAACTCTTCAGGAGTTTTTAACTTCCCGTCTTGGTCAATAAATCTTTCAGGTTTAAACTCCATGACGTCATCACCCCAGATCTTAGGATCATGTAAGACAGAGTCCAGGTTGGGTGAGATGTAAGTTCCTTTAGGGATGGTGTACCCTCGCACGGTGACGTCACGAGGACAGGTGTGGGTTATAGCCTGTGGTACAATACTCGCCAACCTTTGCGTTTCTTTGATGACAGCGTTTAAGTAAACCAGCTTTGGCTTGTCTTGTAAACAAGGCTTTCTGTTGTTTCCAATCTGTTGCTGTAGCTCGCTGTGAATCTTCTTCTGCACATCCGGGTGGTTGAGGACGTACAGCAGACACCAGAGGATTGTTGTGCTGGTGGTCTCCGTGCCGGCAGCAAACAAATCAGTCACCACCCTAGAAAGATTATCTTTGTTTAAATGTGTAGGGACACCTTTGCTCTCCTTAGACTTGAGTTCCAACATGTAAGCTGAAATCAAACTGTCAATGTTGTTCTCATTAAACTCATCCACGCCTTTCTGATTGACAAAAGAAAACAGAAACTCGCACAGACTTTTGATGTATCGTTTTGTTTTCTTAATATGGAACCGATCCCCGGGCAGCAGGTGTAGGAAGGGGATGAAGTTAGTCACCCCGTTGAAATGGCTGTCAGTTAAAATTGCCGTCAGTTTGGCCACCATGTCTTGAAAATGTTCGTCCTGGTACTCGAACCTATTGCCTAAGACGATGGAGCAGATGACGTTAGCGATGCTGATGTTGGTGACTATTTTAATGTCCGACGGTTTGCCCTCTAGGTCAGCCAACAGATCCAGAAAATGATCAATTTCCTCCTCAATTTTCTCGGCCAATCTGTTTTTGCCCATTCCGAAATTTCGCAGAATGTTCAACGCCACTGTTCGCTGTTCCTTCCAGTTCTTGCCGTTAGAGAAGATGACACCTTTTTGAGGGAATGGGGTCACCTACAAAACAAAAAATATTTATCAAAATGAAAATGTTTTCCTGTTCAAGCATAAATAAAAAATAAAACAATGGCTGACTGTGACGGAAACCGTGAGCTTGAATTAAAAAAATAACTTTCTAAATCTTGTATGGTAAAATACCATGATTGTACCATTCTTTTAGATTCAATTTATCTTCTATTTCACATAAAGACTTGTGGGTAACCATAAGATAGCAGCCAATTGATAGGGACATTAATGCCCGAAAAGAAGTGAAAAGTATACAATTACAAGACAAGCCTTAGACTGGAATCACATGGGGGAAGAGGAAAGCAGGCCGGCCAAGTTAATTCTGAAGAAGGCCAGCTTCAAAGGTATGCCTGTAAGTAACTCTGACTATGTGATGTGATGTGATGTGATGTGATGTGATGTGATGTGATGTGATGTGATGTGATGTGATGTGATGTGATGTGATATGATGTGATGTGATGTGATGTGATGTCATGTCATGTCATGTCATGTCATGTCATGTCATGTCATGTCATGTCATGTCATGTCATGTCATGTCATGTCATGTCATGTCATGTCATGTCATGGTTACCTGGTCGACCGCCAGCTCTGGACGGTCCGAGAACTCCTCCCCACGTTTGAGCAAAAGTTCCTTGATGAGAGCATAACCGCACACCACGACCACCAGCTTGTTGCCCATGTACAGGCTAGAAAGTAAAGGATGCTTCTAGTCAGTCTAATGGTCAACATTACAGGCTAGAAAGTATAGGATGGTTGTAATCAGTTTAATGTCAACATTACAGGCTAGAGAGTAAAGGATGCTTCAAATCAGTCTAATGGTCAACATTACATGGTTCTAATAAGTCTAATGGTCAATATTACAGGCTAGAAAGTAAAGGATGCTTCAAATCAGTCTAATGGTCAACATTACATGGTTCTAATAAGTCTAATGGTCAATATTACAGGCTAGAAAGTAAAGGATGCTTCAAATCAGTCTAATGGTCAACATTACATGGTTCTAATAAGTCTAATGGTCAACTATACAGGCTAGAAAGTAAAGGATGCTTCAAATCAGTCTAGTGGTCAACATTACATGGTTCTAATCAGTCTAATGTTCAACATTACAGCAAGCTATAAAGTAAAAGGTGGATTTGTCAGCATTACTAGATGAAAACTGGTGGCTATTTCTTATGTGCCTCAATTTCTAAGCTCGAACTTTGTAGTAGATGAGGATCGTTAACTGGGGACAACAGCCAGAGACGTATCTAGGCGTAGTGCATTTTGTAAATAATCCTATATATATATATATATATATATATATATATATATATATATATATATATATATATATATATATATATATATATAATACTTTTTCTATGTTAAAGTTGGAATGATTGTACCTGAAAATATCCCCCAACTCCTCGTGCCATTTCTTGAACTGTGACCTTGGGTTTTCCTCTAGTGTGAGTAAATGTCCGAGTAGAGGCAAGGGACGGGTGGGGCTGGGAGGTAGGTTTAATCTTGAACGTTTGAGCCAGAAGTAGGTCAGAAGAAAGATGGAACTAGCCAGGATGACTGTTGTCAGGTCAAGCATCTTATACTAGCATCAGACACGATATTTCGTCTTACGAGGATTAAATTTAAAAAAAAACTGATGTTACAAATTAGAACAGTAGAATCTATACATATTCATATCTCAAATTAAATCTAAGAACGACTCAGTTTTAAATTTAATTTTATCCCCAACCCCCCCCCCCCCCCCCCCCCCATCCCAGCTCCCAGCTCCTACCACAAATAACCATAAATAGATTGTTCAATGTATTCTTCATAGTTTTTAAATATAAAAATACAATATATAAGAACCCCTACTTACGCAACTATGTGAATCCCCTACAGTCTTCGTGGCATATGTCTATGGACGACCCACTTACTTATTTCTCTGGCTGGTACCACAGATGTGTTAAAAACATTAGACTGTGCTTTATTTTAAAACAAGACAAAAGTAAAAGACACTCCTACCTGTTTGGTTGAAATCAGCAGTGTAAATGGTGTACTTTACTACGCTGAATGTACAATAAAACACACTTGTAGAGGGAAACAACTCAGTGTAGCAGGCAAAGTTAACAGCACATCCACACGCCAGCTGATAGGCCAAAAACGTAACGTCTGGGCTAGTGTTATCTTTTTACAGGCTAAAATCAAGGTCGCGTATCTTACACATTCTCAATAAATTCTTTAGACGTTGTAAATGTAGAGATTCGACCTTTCACCTCCCTAGTTCATTTTCTTTACTCCTGAGTCATACCTTTAAATCTTTTTATTTCTAGAATTCAGGTTCTTAATTGGCATAAATTGAAATCAATTGAACAAAAGTAAAGAAAAACATAAAGTAAAAAGTGAAGCTGTGGCAAGTCGAGCAAGCTTTTCACCTCAAACTTTTATTTCACTACTATAGCTAAAGTTTATTCATGATTTTTAGACGTACATTTAAATCATATTTTTATTCGACATTTAAAAAAGAGATAATAAGAAATGTTTTTCTTGTTTTATTTATAATGATAAACTGTTTTTCACACGTTGTTTTAGTTTACAGATGTCACCAGTAAGATTAATGACACGAGTCCAATGGTAAAGAGGAGTTATATTTATTACATTAAAACAGTCCAGACCAATATAATAAATAAGACTAAAACGAATAATATTAATTTTTTTACAAATACTATACAACTAATTTACTTGTATATTGATTAAATGACTATATATTATAAAAGCCGCTAGGTAGTGTGTCAGTCACTCGGTATAGCCACTTTGTCTTCGGCAAATCTGGAGAATGTGGTCTCATTAATAGAATTCTTATAAATAGTTTTTGTCCATCATTCATCTCTTATGGCGAACGTTTCATTTAATAATACAATGCTTAATACATTGCACTGCCACGCTTTGTTAAAAAAAACCTGCACATTTACTTCAAGTACATGTGTATTAAGGAGATGATAACAATGATTTATAACTAAAATGTATATTTTATTTTTTATTTGTGTAACCGGTATAAATCAGAATCTACAACAATCTATAAGTGTGGTTGTGTTATTTTTTTATTTGTGTAACCGGTATAAATCAGAATCTACAACATTCTATAAGTGTGGTTGTTGTTAGCAACCAATTAAATTCTGCATAGAAATATGTGTACACTGTTTACATTCTTAGAGTTTTCTGCGCTCCATTAATCTCACTTTAAATGGAACTGGACCCACGTCTAAGGCAAACACGTAGTCTTCTGGAATTTTCGTTACGTTCTCTGGTGGCACAATCTTAAACCTCTGCAGCATTGTGGCCAGGAGCAAAAACTCGATGGCCTTGGCCATCCCCTCCCCGAGGCAAACTCTGGTACCAAGTCCAAAGGGAATAAATTCGTCACATGATTTTAATTTTCCGTTCTGGTCCAAAAATCTCTCGGGTTTAAAGGTCATGACATCTTGACCCCAGACCTTCTCGTCGTGTAGGACTGAGTCAAGACTCTGTAGAATGACGGCCCCTTTAGGGATCCTATACCCTCGTATGGTCGTTTCTTCTGACGCCATGCGCGGAATGGACTGCGCGGCGATGCTAGCCAGTCTCAAAGTTTCGAATATAAACGCGTTCAAATAAACAAGTTTTGGTTTATCTTGTAGAGTAGGGGATCGTTCGGTGCCGATCTCGTTTTCAATTTCCTGAAAGATTTTGTCTTGAATATCCTGATAGTTGGCTGCATACAGAACCGCCCACAGAATAGATGTCCCTGTCGTCTCCGTACCAGCGAGAAAAATATCCAGAATTATTTTAGCCAGATTCTCCTCGTCCATTAAAGTATGTTCCCCCGCCGCCACTTTCCTATCGCGTTCAGCGATGTAGGCGCGGATGAAACTGTCATCTGAACCTCCTCCGATGCTTCTTTGAAGACTCTCATGTACAAACTTGTTCACGAAAAGGTCCATGATTTCTTTGGCGTTTTTCTCCAGCTTTTTGGCGTTGAATAAATCCCCGGGCAGTTGACGTAAACATGGGAAAACATTAATTAGTTCGCTTGTTTTCTGCCCTCCTAGGATAACTCTCAACTTTTCCATGAGCTCGTGGAAAACGACGTCATCGTACTCGTATCTCTGCCCGTTGAGAAACGAACAGATGATGTTGGCGATGATCATGCTGGTGCTTAGTCTAAGGTCTGTCGGCTCTTCCTTCAGTAGAGTTAGACGCTCCATAAAGTGCACTAACTCTTCACGGATTTTCTCTCCCAGTACGTTCTTGCCCATGCCGAATGCACGAAGCAGATATAGAGTTACTGTTCTTTGCTCTTTCCAGTTTGCACCCGATGCAAGAATCACACCTTTTCCCGGCATACCTGTCGCCTAAGAATTGGAGAGAGAGGGTGGAATGGCTGTTTTACTTTTCTAGTGTCCTCGTACATTATTTTATAAAAATACTTCAACAAGAAATTTTCAAAATTAAATTAAATGCTTTTGTAATATTTCGAATAAAAGGTTGTTTTATTAACAACTTACAATGTAGTTATACGATGCATAAACAAAAGCTAATAGATGTCAAATTACCTCATCGAAAAAGAAGGGCGGTCTAAGAGAGAACTCATTCCCCCGTTTAGCCAGTATTTCCCGTAGCAGATCGTAGCCATTGATCATCACCATCAGATTCCCAAACACCTTGAGGCTTAGAGTTTTAAAATGCTAACATTATAACTTTAGCCTGCACAAGTCTAAATGCATAAACGTTTATGATAAAAAGCTTTTAAATATGCATGAAACAGTGCGAAATAAATGATTGTCCGCGACTCCGAGCAGTCTCCGATTCTGGGCAGTCTGTGGCTCCGGGCAGTCTTTGGCTCAGGGCAGTGTGTGTCGACTACTAAGCTGTGTTTTCCTCAAGACCACCTTTTTATTTACCTGTACATATCCCCCACGTCCTAATTTACCTGTAGACATCCCCACATCTTAACTTACCTGTAGATATCCCCACACTCTAACTTACCTGTAGATATCCCCCACGCCCTAATTTCCCTGTAGATATCCCCACACTCTAACTTACCTGTAGATATCCCCCACGCCCTAATTTCCCTGTAGATATCCCCACACTCTAACTTACCTGTAGATATCCCCCACGCCATAATTTACCTGTAGATATCCCCCACGCCCTAACTTACCTGTAGATATCACCCACTCCCTAATTTACCTGTAGATATCACCCAAGCCCTTATTTACCTGAAGATATCCCCCACGCCCTTATTTACCTGTAGATATCCCCCACTTCCCTGTGCCACTGTTTAAACTGCGGCCTGGGGTCGGCATGGAGTGCTAGGGCGTGGCCCAGCAGGGGCAGAGGTCTCACAGGGTACGGGGGAAGGCCTGCGTCCCTCTGGGTGAACCACAGGTAGATGACAATAATGAGGGCCAGCCCTATAGCGAGCGTCATCCAGTCCATTTGGTAAGCCTGGCAGAGTTTACAAAAAACGTTTGTTAAGAGGATTAAGAAGGACGGTGAGTCACAATGGCACCGCTGTGTGTTAGAAGATTTATGAAAACAAGATATATTGTAGCTAGCTAAACGGTTATCTACACTTTCTAAAGTAAAAACAACATATTTATATGGAACGTTACGTTTAATTCTAGCTTTGACATGAGTTTTGTCCTTTCCTATTCTAACCGTATCCGTATACCCAACCTTAACCTTATAATGATCAGATAACCTCATAAAGATAACAGGATCACCATGTAAACAATCAGATGCTCGCGTTTAAACCTCGGGACACAGAATAACCAATCGACTATACATGCAGTCAAGCACACATATTAAAAATAACATCAGTCTTAGAAATCCATAGAAATATCTATCTGATACTGTTACCCATGTGTTCCATTAAAGACAAGTATATATACATATATATATATATATATATATATATATATATATATATATATATATATATATATATATATATATATATATATATATATATATATATATCTGCGCCTAAACTTGATTAGTCTACCAGTATAATCACATATAGGCTATGTAGAACTAGCTACAGTACACCAAACATAAACACAACTTACCAGTTAGCCAACGACTGCCGTGAGTAAAATGCAAGCACACAAACAGCGATCTAGCAAGAGCTGGCCTACTTTTGTCTGGCACAGTAAATAATAGCTATATTTACCGTCTACATCACTTCCGGAGAGCTATTACGGTTGTGCTGTGCCCTGCCTGCAAGTGTTATAAATCTAGTCACAATCTCGGTGTTGTAAAGCAGATTGCTCCGGTGGTTGTCGCACACAATTGATGTGATGGTGGGTGGCGTCAGATTTTGTTTATTAGTACAAATAAATAGTTACTTTTTCATTGAACACATATGTTGTTTCATGTTGTATTAATGATCTTCGATTAATTTATTAACTTCTGCAACAAAATCTGATAATTACTAATAATGGGGTACAAAGAAAATAAACATCACGACGTCCAGATTCCCATAGTCAATCAGCTATAAGTAAAAGTTCCCTTTTCAAACCTGACGGTCTATAAGGCAGGTTAAGTAGAGTTCACATGTTTCTGTGACCTCGGCATATGAAGAGATAGTGTGGTCAGCACCATGCCTAGCCGCCTTTACTTTCCCTAACATGAGTTATGTACCCATCAGAGTTGGGTGGACTCAGCGACGGTCTACTGACTTGAACCCGGATTCGAACTCGAGACTTACGGTTTAGCAGTCCAGCTCTCTACCGCTAGACCACTTCGTCAGCTATGTCTGAAAAAAAAGAACTGTTCTTCTCGGAGTCTAAAAGCAGCAGATATGATGTTGTAACGTGTATTTTTCGCATCTCAGTTTCAAGCTAGTGGGATCTTCTACCACCTGGGTAGGGTTTCGGTACGTCAGCGACGTTACTGGACCATCTACAGCCTCCAGCCTGGTACCAAAATTGTGCCTCTAGTATGTGCAAACCAAAGATAGCTAGACCATGCAGTCCGTTACTGAATGATAAACATCATTAATCATTTACTTTTTATATTTTTTCTGAATATTTTCATTCGTTGGACTAAGATGATTTGCTAGTCGATTGAGGGGAATGGCGGTCAGGAGGATGTTGGTCTAGATAGAGAGCATGGCCTGCATGAAAAAAAAATTCAAATAAAATCAATTGTGTTTGATGTTGCAAGATTGACGCAATTAACTAAAACAACAGGCACATTATATATCAATACCAAACGTGTCTGTAATTTTTTTATAAAAATCTAGTCCCACCCCTGTTTAATATACCATACCATAGTCTGGATCAGGCGAGTAAATGATCATTTTTACTTTCTCGTATGTATGAAGTATATAGAAAGTCTTGTAATCGTGCAACAACAAAAAATCGAGATTTTTACAAATCTCGACGTTTTACACCTCACTGATACGGAAAAACATAATTTTGCAATCTTGTCCGTATGTCTGTGTGTCCGTGTGTCTGTGTGTGTGTCAGTGTGTGTGTAAATACGATAACTTGAGTACCGTTACAGCTAGGTTGATGAAATTTCATATATAAGTATTTAATCAAAATCGTCGATCCTTGTCAACTTTTGAGCGATTTCCGGTAACCGGAAGTGGTACTTTTTCTACTTTGAATTTTTTAAAAGCATATAACTTGAGTACTATTTCAGATAGATAAATGAAATTTCACATGTAAGTAAAAGATCTAATTCTCTACCTACTGTCAAATTATGAGTAATTTCCGTTGACCGGAAGTACTACTTTACGCTATTTCCGATTTCTCAAAAAACGCATGTAAATTTATAAAGTACTAATAACATTGCACACTATTATGCACATTATGTTTTGGCGTTCGCTTGGTGCGCAATTCTTTTTTCTATTAGATTTTATTTTATTTTTAAAAGTTTAAGTAAACAAAAATCATGTCTATATTCTGAGTTGCCATCCCACGTATTGTTACATTAGAATATTCGAGAAAGTTTTTTTATTCGGATTATTACAGACATAATCATGACAAATAGATTAAAAATAATCAATTATCTCTCGTGGGTAAATGCTTTTAAATTAAATGTAAAGGTAGGTAACTCATAATAGTAATTCCAAACTTGAAAATATAAAGAAATATATTCAAACTTCTACTGTGTCTGTGTTTTAAAATAAAAACATAGATGCATATGCTGTTTAGTTATAAAGCTGCCGCTCCACACTACAGAAGCATAATCCAACCTAGATTGAATAAAAGCTTCATAAAAAACCAGCCTGCTCCTATAGTCCACAAAGTTATTTATCCTTTCTATAAAAGAATGAAATTAAAATTGTCGGAGAGTATTTGCTATTTTCCAGTTCAAATATTTATAACCTCTGTATTGCCAAGCAATATTACCCGAACCAAAAAAGGGCTATAAAATTGGTTACTGGCTTGTCTAGTAGTCTGCACTACTATTTAAATAACTATAATGAAAAGCGTGGGTCACTTATATTTAGGAAGAGACCCACGCTTTACTTTATAGTTATTTAAATAGTAGTGCATAATTTATTTTGAACTTTTTTGTGCATTACTAATTAAAAGTTTGATATTAAAACGTTTTTTATGAAGTTTTTTTCAGTACTTTAAATGTTTTAAATTTACAATAGAGTTGCATGACTAAAAAAACATTGGGCACCTAATGTACGTGATGAACGTGATTAGGCAATCAATTATGTCAAGTTTAATGTCATGTCTTCATGTCTTGACCCACGTACCAACAACGAACCGTATCTGTCAGTTAGAAGTGCCCGTAATTTCACTCGGGCGTTCCGATCAAGACAAACAGACTGTCGACTGACGACAGACAGAGGAAGTGAGTTAAATAAAAGCTTGTAAAAATTTTTGTTTTCTAGACATACATTACGTACCTGCACTTTGAAGACATTAAAGCAGCATATTAAAATTTTTACAAGAAATAACAAATATATTAAAGTTGTAAATACGTTTATTATTGTTACATTTGAAATCAAAAGTTCAGAATATTAACAGCTTTGAATAATTTAATTTGAAATAAGTGAATAATAATATTCTTGATATATTAATAATCATTGGACAAAAGATTTGTTTATGTAATAGATATGCTAGATCAACACAAATATTAGGTGCTAGAGATACTTTCAAAGTGGTAGTTTCATTATATGCTGTAGAAAAATCTAAGTGACAAAAACAAAATTACAAAACGTAAAGAACCTCTGAGTATAAATTGAAAATGCATAGGGAAAAATTAGATAAATTGCTCCCTCTGTTCGAATCTCACTTTATATGGCATCGAAATCGTCGTAAAACCAGGAATAAATTCCATTGAAGGAAGACATCCTGGGTCCTCTGGCTTCACCTCAAATCTCTGGAACATGGAAGAGAGAAATATAAAGAGCTCCATGTTGGCCAAGGACTCACCCAAACATACGCGTCGCCCGAGAGAAAACGCGACAAATTCTTCGGGATTTTTCAGTTTCCCATTGACGTCCAGAAATCTTTCAGGTCTAAATGACATGGCATCTTCTCCCCAGATTTTTTCATCGTGTGCAATAGATGGAAAATTTGGAATGATGAGGGTTCCTTTTGGAACTGTGTAACCGTTAACTTCAACATCTCTGTAACATGAATGGGGTAGAGAATACGGAACCATACAAGACAGCCTTAGGGTTTCCATGATAACAGCACCAAGGTACGGCAGTTTTGGTCTGTCCAAGATGTTGGGCACCCGGTCAGTGCCAACGTTTTCAACAATTTCTCTGTGGATTTTCTCCTGAACCTCCGGATGGTTGAGTACGTACAAGATGCCCCAAATAATTGTTTGGGAAGTCGTTTCAGATCCGCCAAAGAATAATTCAAAGACAATTTTTAAGAGATGATCCTTATCCATTGTTGTTTTGGTGCCTTTTTCTTCCAGGTTTTTTATCTCATTTAAATACTCTGAGATAAAGTTTTCCTTCTGCACTTTACCTTGATGGGTGGCTTCCATTTCGCGTTTCACAAAGTTGAGGATGAGATCGACGTACACTTTTGTTTCCTTGCCTTTGGTTAAATCAAAAGGTAAATAACGCACAAAAGAAAGAAAATTCAACACTGAAGTCACCTGTAAATTGTTTAAGACAGTTTTCATTGACTGAAGAGCGTTTAAAAACCTCGGGTCGTTATACTCAAACCTGTGCCCAAATACCACATAACTGACAACATTGGACACACAAGCATAGGTAAGGTCTTTGATGTTCGTTGGCTTGCCTTTGAGGTCAATCAGGGCTTTGATAAAGAACCCAGCCTCTTCTTGTACCCTTTCCGCTAAGACATTCTTCCCCATACCCAACTTTTTTAAGATTTGAAGAGTTTTGCCTCTTTGTTCTTTCCACAAATCGCCGTCAGTGAAAACAACCCCAAGTCCAACCATGCCAGTTGCCTGTAGATGTTCATTAGAATTTAGTGCAACTGCTAGTTAGAATCAATATTTTCTTAACTGCCACTAAGTTAAGGGTATATAACACATTATTTTGATATTATTGTAATCGTCTTAGTTCAAATTTTTAGGTCGAAGTCTTAATTTATGTAGGTAGTTTATATAGTTCATTGTTAATTCTTTTTAGTTTTTTACTTGTTTTATTTTATTCGTTCTTTCTTACATAAGTTTATTTATTCTTTAGTTTTCTTGACTATTCTTTCGAACCTTCATTCGTTTTTTCCTTCATTTGTTCTTTTGTTTAATGTATATTTTTATAAATAACTTAGCTTTCTGTTTACATCAAATTAAAAATTTTAAATATAAAATTATTAAAAATTTTGTTTCTGAATTTTTTATTAAATTAAATGTAAGATTTCGTAATTTTTCTTCTACAGGAAAAACTCCTGATTTACCTAAATTATTATTTCATCTTTTTTCGTGATAATTTGAGATCCACCTCTCAGAATTCTGATTAATCAGCTCTGAACTATCAACCTACCTCATCGAAGAATAATTTCGGCCGTGCACTGAAGTCATCGCCCTGCTTTACAAATGTTTTATTGATCAGCGAGTATCCGTTCAGCACCACGGCATATGTCCCACCCAGATACAGGCTGTGGTGGAGATGGTAAAGCAATTTTATTGTCTACTATTGATTTGGAAAGTTAGTAAAAAAAACTAAAAAAACTAATTCATTGCCCTTTGTTAAGTAATTGGCCCGCAGGTCTGACCATCTGTAAACATGTTACTCTACTGAATTTACAACGACCTTTCAATCTTTTCCAATTTTGAATCTAAGTAGCTACTTGGTTATAAAGGAATCCTCCTGTCTTATTACATTACCGGGGCTTCTCCATGTCTATACTAATATGATCACTAGGATATGGTTAGTTTTCTTCTGACAGACAGTATATATCTTAAACCAATTCACATCTGTTGTAGTAAAGTGGGGAAAGGGATAAAGTCCAAAGATACTGAAAAACGGGAATAGTTAAAACCCGTACACACTGTTCCTACAACTGTCCTAACACAGATTTTACCTGCAGATGTCTAATTACTGATTTATCTGAAGCTATACCTACACTAAGTTACCTATAGATGAAGATGTCCCCACCCTGATTTACCTGAAGATGTCCCCACACAGATTTACCTGAAGATGTCCCCACACAGATTTACCTGAAGATGTCCCCACACTGCTTCCTCCATCTCTTGTACTGTTCCCTGGGGTCTTTGTCCAGAGACAACAGATGACCAACTACAGGCAGCGGTCTGACCGGACATGGCGGCAGACGTGGGTCATGACGTCTGAACCAGAGATAGAACAACAGAATCAAGATGGTGGCGATGGCGATGGTGGCCAGATCCATTGCTTAGAAATTCTGAAAAGTTTGAGATCAGGAAATGTACATACAATCAAACCATGTAACAAAGCTCAGAAATAAACAAAACGATTCAATATAATAAACTAAATGCTTTTGTTTACTCTGATATTTATCAATAGAAAAATGGTATCATCATTTACACCAAAAGACTAAACACAAGTTATGCTTCAGGTGTTTTGCTGTCTCTAATGGTGTGGTTTTTTAAACGAAATACACCACTTTATGTTTGATGGATACAAACTATTTTTTTTAGCTGTGTTTACGAAATAATTTGATTTACCTTTATTAAAATTAGAAATATTAAGAATATTAAAATACGGCTAAATAAAAAAATAAACCGGGAGTGATCTCCCCTAAACTTTCTCAGGACATAGACAATATTTGTTATCCTTTTTTAATTACTTAAACTTTTTATAATAGAATAGAATCTCGTAAAAAAAGAATTGCACACCAAGTGAAAAGTTTCCCTTTCTAACCTGACTTGAACTCGGATTCGAACTCGTGACTAACTGGTTAGCAGTCCAGCTCTCTACCGCTAGACCACTCCGTCCCACACCAAGTGAATGCCTAATAAAATGTGTATAAAAGTGCGGGATATTATTAGTACTTTATAAATTTACATGCGTTTTTTGAGAAATCGGAAATAGCGTAAATTAGTACTTCCAGTCAACGTAAATTACTCAAAATTTGATAGAAGGTAGATAATTAGATCTTTTACTTACGTGTGAAATTTCATGCATCTATCTAAAATAGTACGCAACTTATAGGCTTTTGAAAAATTCAAAGTAGAAAAAGTACAGCTTCCGGTTATCGGAAATCGCTCAAAAGTTGATACGGATCTACGATTTTAATAAAATACTTATATATGAAATTTCATCAACCTAGCTGTAACGGTACTCAAGTTATCGTGTTTACACACAGATAGACACACAGACACACAGACATACGGACAGAATTGCAAAGTCCAGTTTTTACGACTCGATAACGCATAAAACGCCAAAACGTTTATATATTTGTATTTATAATTTTTGCCTGGTTAAAATAAGTCCTCTATACTCCGGATGTGATGAAGGACTGAGAAGTAAAACGGTGAAAACTGTCAAAATTTCATGTTATTTTTGTGCACGATTACAATACTTTCTCTATACTTCGTATATACGAGAAAGTAAAAAAGTTGATTACATATTGTTAACTGTTACAATATATTTCAAAACCCCAAAAAGTTTTGAATTGAAAAATATCTCATCGATCGTTACGATTGGTGTCAGTGTAGACACTCGATGGAAAAACTAGCTGACTTTTATTTAAATGAATCGTAAACTCATTATGCACTCTCGCGTGACACTATTAGAACCCTATCGCTCATAGAACCATCAATAAATTTGTAACATAAGTTCACCAATGAAATGTATTCTCAAGCTGTTCATTAGTCGAACTAGCCTTTCAGTTTGGGGGAGGTGTTTGAAATATTATATATATATATATACATAATCTATATATATATATATAATTCTCTTTTTGGAGACGTTAGAAAACAAGCTGTAAGCGCGCCTTGCTGTCCCCTCTCTTCCTCTCTAGGAAGTCAGGTGAGCTGTGGTTCACGATAAATGTTTACAATCGTAGAGCCGGGTTTAGTGACGGCTATTAGGGGCAGATAATTTAGTTTGAAGCGATTTTAAACTTAGGGGAGGTCTAAGAGGAGGCTGCTTTTACGGGGGGGGGGGGGGGGGTAGGGGGGGAAAGGAAGGGGGGGGGGGGGGGGGAAGGAAGGGGGGGGGTTATCGTCCTTAACGACTTACTGATAGTGTTTTAAAGCAAATATTTTCAGTGACAGCAGTGGTACTGTCGAATTCACAAATTATGAATTACTGAAAAGTAGAAAATAAAAAACTAAATAGCGGCGTGTGATACGCCGCGGGTAGGCTCGTATATATATATATATATATATATATATATATATATATATATATATATATATATATATATATATATATATAGTCACAGCCGGCTCCTTATGTATTTTGGGCTCTTTGGAGCCAAGTGTAACAATTTAAAATAAATACAACACTCCACAACGAGAATCTGTTTTATAGGTGTATAGTTATCTTCAAACACAAGAACACACCTCAAGAAGAAAACACTGACTAGTAGGTCTACGATGGTTACACGACACCACACTGCCTACACACTACTTTTTCTGCCATAACCATTCATTGTCGTCTGTAAACTGTCGTCAAGGACGGCTGCTTTCACGGAATTCGCGGGAGGGAGGGTGAGGATAATAGTCTTTACCAGCTACTGATTTTGTTTTAAAGCAAAATATTTTCAGTCTCAGCATTGGTAGTGAATTATGAATTACTGAAAAGTAGAAAATAAAACAACTAAACAACGGCGTATGCTTACGGCGCGGTTCAGCTCGTATATATTATTCTGTTCTTGGGGACCATGCGAGACACCACGTAAACGCACGCCGTTACTCCCCCGCTCTCTAGGCATATAGCTCAGAGGCGAAGCGACCCTTCCCGGCGCCCTGGGACAAACTTTCGATTTGCACCCCCTCGAACTTTTCATTTGCACACCCCCCCCCCCCCCCCCCCCCTCTCAAACTTTCGATTTGCACCCCCCTCGAACTTTTCATTTGCACCCCCCCCCCTAAAACTTTCAATTTGGCGCCCCCCCCCCCCTAAGGGTGAGCTGTGGTTCGCGACAAATGTTTACAATCCCAGAACCCAGTCGGATTAGTGACGGCTATTAGGGGCTGATAATTTAGTTTTTAAATGTTTTAAAACTATTTGAAACTAAGGGGAGGTAATAACAAGTTTTGCTTGATCTTTTCATTCTGGTATGTACACTGTCGTCACGGATGGCTGTTTTCGCGGAGTTCGCGGGGGCGGGGGGGGGAGGTGAGGATTATCGTCCTTCACGCGCTACTGATTTGAAGCAAAATATTTCCAGTCGCTGAATTGGTAGTGTTGAATTCACAAATTATGAATTACTAAAAAGTAGAAAATAAAACAACTAAATAGTGGCGTTTGCAAACGGCGCGGGTCAGCTCGTTAATTTTATCCTTTGAAGCGAGCCAGAGGCTTTTTGTTTATGGTCGAGCGCTTTACTACCTTAACATGTGAGAAAAACAAATTAATTAATTTCCTATTTGATAACTTCTAACCTTTCTGCAAAAATAATAATAATATCACTAATAATGAATTGTATATAAAGTTTCCGTTATATTTCAAGATAAACGAAATTTTCAGACCTCAAAACTAGTAAGTATTCAGTACTGTAATAAAACCACATGAATTTAATACGACTTAAAATAGAATGTTTCGAATATTTGTTTTGTTTGCGTTTTAGTCCGTGTTTAGGACCCTCAATACACAATGAAAAAAAAAACATATTTGCAATAGTCTACCACTCAACCACACAACCTCGTCTAAAACATTAGTACCGAGAAAATTGGAGAAAAGGACTAAGTCCAAAGATACTGAAAAACAAACGTGATTAATTAAACCCAGTAAAGACTGTACCTACAATTGTACTCACACTGATTTACCTGAAGATGTCTAATTACTGACTCACCTGAAGA